CTGCTGAGATGTGGTGGCCTCATGGAAGGGGCCATCGACTAACACACTGCTGCTAACCACAAATTCTCTATATCCTGATAACATTTTACTTTCTTTGACATGTAAAGTGGTAGTTCAACAGTTGAATTAATTGTAGATTTACTCAGATAAAGAAAATATAGTTGATCTATTACAAAATATCATATCTACTACGAAATCACAATGACTACGTTTACATGCAGCCAATATCCGGGTTATGATCGGGTTAAGGTCGGTATTCGGGTTTCTGAGTTGATCAGAATAACCCGTTTACAAGCATAAATAGAAAGAGTTACCCCTAACTTGCATAACCTGATTTAAATGAGGACGTTGGGGTAGCGTCAAGACGTATGGACTACGTCCAGACGCAATATGCCTCATTTCCGGTTCTTCTTGTTCCGGTATCCGTGAAAACAGCAACATGTTTCCCAGTTCGGAAGAGATAGCGACCGCGTTTGTTTGTGCTTTAGTTTCTTCGTCACTCCAAAAGTGTGGTGCTGTGCCGCAACTCGCCATGTTGCTCCCAACTTGTTGTTTACTTCCGGTGTTCTGGCGCATACAAGACGTCTCGCTACTCAAAAGACCAAGATTCCTTGCGAACAGAGCATGCGCAGAACACACGCTTTGATGAGGATATCCCGATATGCGTTTACACGACCAAACATTCGGGTTAGAAAAGGGTTACCCCAGGTGTAGTAACCGGGTTTTTAAATACCCGGTTATGAGCATATCCGGGTTTTTGGCGGTGTTTACATGGACCTGCGGAACCGGGTTATTGTGAATATTCGGGTTTTAAAAGGGTTACTGGCTGCATGTAAACGCACTCAATGTAGCCATAGGAACACTACTTGGTTTACATGTTATTTGCGTGTGTGTGTGTGTGTGTGTGTCTGCTCTATCTTCTTGATCCCCAGTGAGTCGTGGCGGATGGCTGCTAATACTGAGCCAGGATGCTCTGGAGGTTTCCTCATGTTGTAAGTGAGTTTTCCTCTCCACTGTTGCTAAATGCTTGCTTAGAATAAGGATTGCTGGAAAGACACTGATTCTAGTCAGTGACTCGCTGCAATTTGCTGGGTTCCTTATATAGGAAACTTTTTACTGATTGGCTTAACGAACTGAACTGTATTGGAATGTTTATTTTGTGAAGTACCTTGAGACGACTCTTGTGGTGATTTGGTACTATTAAAATAAAAAATAAAGTACAATGAATTGAATTAAATACTGACACATCTGACACAACATTTGAATGGTAATGAAGGCAGCTGCAGGGCTTCAGGCAATCTAAACAAAATGTTGCCCCAAGAAAAGGTGCATTTAGACATTTTTCCTTTTCACATGTTTCATAGGAAATAAACTAAGGGTGTTTGTCAGAACAAACAAACAGATTTATAGGTAAAAGACAGAAAACAGCAAAGCTGCAACCAGCTGACTTGCTTTGCTTCTATAACACATGAAACAGTCTAGACCAGTCATGTTGGTCTTTCATATTCCCTGTATAAAGAACATCAGACGCTGATGGGATAGCAGCTTAGAATTTTCCACCACACACACACACACACACACACACACACACACACACACACACACACACACACACACACACACACACACACACACACACACACACACACACACACACACACACACACACACACACACACACACACACACACACAGAGCTAATAGATCATTTGACATGTTTTAACGTTGCACAAAATCATACATCATTTTATTTTCAAAGGTGACAAAAGCAGCTGATGTCCCTAACTTTTCACTTTTTACACATCCATATTGTTACAGGTCCCAGGTATGTGACCATGCAACAGGTGATTTTGTTAAAACAGTCAAATGACCAGACAGGACATCAGTATGGTGTTACTGCGTCAGCTCCTCGTTGCAGAATGAGGAAAAGTTAACGGCCAAACTCTGTCCCGGTCAGCTGCCAAGTATCATACTGCCCTCTACTGGCATTAAGGTGCATTACCTTTACAGAACAGTTTACAAAGACTAATAATAACAATGTCCTTAGAGACTCTATATAAGTTTTTTCTTTTCCTTTTAGCCTGGAATCCATTAAATATATATATTTTTTTCACACAGGAATACATTACATCAGATGGTTAAAGCGTCAATACGAAAAATGTGACCACATCTTTCTGTGTGCGTCACACATATCACAATTTTATGCAGCATAACATATTTCAGTGTTCAATAGAAAGGGAAAATTGTCATAAAACCAAAAGTTTTATTCCTGATATCATACCATCTTACAAGTTTTAAGGGTTTCTCTCTAGCCTCTTTTAGAAAACAATGCCGCCAATTTGCTGCATTGTTTACCATAATCCAAAGGGCACTTTTGGCGTCAGGGGTCTGACGTGGACGGTGGCTGACCAAGCGTTTGCTTTTGACGTGCTGGGAGTGAGAATGTGTTGCATGCAAACACACACTCAGAGATAGGTTGGTGAGAAGGAGTACTCACCCCGGCTAATGACACAGTGTTGTTGACAGAATCCAGTAAAAGGAGTGGCCTTGAATTGATGCTAAGAAGCCACGGCATCTTTTTGTTTCAGGTAAGAAAGGCTAATGCTGAGCTAATAATGCTAAAAGTGAATTAGAAAAAAAGGTCAGCTCTAATCTCAAGCTATTTTTTCATTTGCTTTGATACATGGACTGCTGGCCCAAATTTGACCACAGGATGTCATTCTTACTTATTGTTTAATTTTACATCTCCTTTAAGCCCCATGAGATGTCTAAGCTGCAGCTGTTACACACCTGCTTAGACTCTATCAAAACCTGGATGGCTGGGAGCTTTCTTCAGCTGAATGAAGATAAGACTGAGATCCTCATCTGTGCCCCAGACAAGCTGGTTCCCAAAGTCAGAGACTGTCTTGGTCAGCTTGCTTCCCACACCAAACCTTCTGTCAGGAATCTTGGTGTGACCTTTGACCCAGCTCTCACCCTGGATTCTCATGTCAGTTCTCTTGTTCGCTCTTCCTTCTTCCATCTCAGGAACATTGCTAAGCTGAGTCCCATTCTGTCCCGCTCTGAACTTGAGACAGTTATCCACACCTTCATCTCCTCACGCTTAGACTACTGTAACTCTCTTTTCACGTGTCTGAGCAGAACCTCCCTGAACCGTCTACAGGTGGTTCAGAATGCCTGTGCTCGGCTTCTGACCAAGTCCTCCAAACACACCCACATCACCCCGCTTCTTCTCCAGCTTCACTGGCTGCCAGTCAACTTCAGGGTTCATTTCAAGATCCTGGTTCTGGTCTATAGGGCCTTACATGGACAAGCACCATCTTACATTGGCGATCTTCTTAGTCCCTACACCCCCAGCAGGTCCCTGAGGTCCAGTGATCAAAGCCTACTGGTTGTGCAGTGCACCAGGCTAAAGACCAAAGGTGACAGATCATCTGCTGCTGTGGCCCCCAGACTCTGGACCTCTCTCCCCCTGAGCCTGAGATCAGTGGACTCAGTGGTCTCCTTTAAAAAGCAGCTGAAGACTCACCTGTTCAGGCTTTTGTGTGACCTTCATCACCACTCTCTCCTTATTCTGCTCTTTCTACGTATTCTGCTTTTCCCACGATTGACTGATTTCCCTTTTTCCTATTCATTTTATCTCCCTTTCTTTACGATTATTATTATTGTTTTAATCACAATTTTAATTATTTTTCTCATTTTACACATATTTAAAATATTTTTTTTATAAATCTTTTCATGGTAAACAAATCACCTGCTGTTCCTGTTTCTGACAGAAACAGAACAAAGGCCTTTCTTGAGAGAGAGAGAGAGAGAGAGAGAGAGAGAGAGAGAGAGAGAGAGAGAGAGAGAGAGAGAGAGAGAGAGAGAGAGAGAGAGAGAGAGAGAGAGAGAGAGAGAGAGAGAGAGAGAGAGAGAGAGAGAGAGAGAGAGAGAGAGAGAGAGAGAGAGAGAGAGATCAACTAAACACCTGACTCACAGCTTCAGAGACACACAGAGGACAAACTCAACCTGGGAGATGCCAGTGCTTATCAACCGAAAGTCATCTTCATTAAAACTAAAAGAAAAAAAGGAAAGACAAAGAGTTGTCTGCCATCGTTCTCCCAGGTTGAGCCCTTTCAAGCTCAGGCAGAAAAGAACTTGCCGATCACAGTTGGTTGATGTAATCAAACTTTTGAGTCCGTAGGAAGCAGAACTTGGTCAGAAAGCTTCATCTGGTCATTTCAAGGGTCACTAAGTCAGCGTGTGGGAGTTATTTAGTCCTCATACACCCAGCTAGAGAGAACATGACCAGAGCAGCAATATCCGCTTCTTACACTCGTTACAGAATCCATTTCCTAAGACTCACACCCTCAGTTATTTGACTTTTCAAGTTTGCAGTTGAAATGAACAACAAATAATAATGATGATGGTTGCTTCATTTCATACTTTAATGGCTGAAAGTGAGAGATTATCATTGCTGCATCCATTTAAAAGTTTCACATCATCGGCTGCAGATGCTTCCAAGTCTTGCACTCATGCAGAAATTATTGAAATTGTTTTAGCATTTTCCCCCTTTTCTTGGTTAAAGAAGGGGTTTATTCTAATGAATGCAGTGAATCTGTGCGGGCATGTTGATAATTTATATTTAAATACAACAACTCAAAAGCGTTGTTCTCTTAAACACATTTTAAAGCTCATATAATCTAAATGATCTCTTCTCTCGTGGCACAAAGTCAAGATGAGGAGATGAATGGTGTTAAAACAACAGTTAAGTCATTTCATTGTTAAATTCAGACTAGAAATAAAACCTTATTGGTTTTAAATTTCAAGGTTGTGTCACAGTCATAAGAAGTTGCATGTTTTTAATTACAATGTTGTCTGCTAAATAAAACACTCCCATGGGATCAGACACTCACATGTTGAGTCTCTGCTGCAGGCAGTGAGTTCTCAGGTCTCCATCATGTCCTCAGTTATGGACATGATGGGGAAATGTTACTCAGGGATGCAGGAAGGCTATAATAGCTCAGTTGAGATCATTATTATTGAAGCAAACACACATTCTGTGAAGGATGGTGTGTGTGTGTGTGGGAGGTGTGATGGTGGTGTCATGGTTGAGGGGGGGTTAAATGGATTGTAAATTAGCTCTGCAGCACAAGGAAAGCTGAGAAAGAACGGCTGTGGAGCAGAGAATCTCCTTCACCCTCAGTTGCTAAACTGATTGCACAGCAAGGTAAGAAATGCTCATGTTCATTTATTTGCAGAGTGTAACCATGGCAACGTTAGCATCCTCGATAATATGTTGATGTCTCTGAAAAAAAAAAGATAATGGAATTATTCTCTCATTTCTGTTTACATTTTTGCCTTTTATCTGTTATTAACGGACAGGGCAGTAATAAGAGATCATTATAAGTATTTGTTTACCCATGCACCTGTTTACATTAAGCCAACGGACAAGATGTATTATAGTCAATCATTTATTAGTTACTTGTTAGTAGTTTTAGTTTTATTTCATTCTGAAATCAAAGCACAGCCCAGGAGTAGTAAATGAAGAAGAGTAAAAGCAAGGAAGAGAAAAAGCAATAAAAATTCTACTTATTAGATATTTTAAAAACTTTTCAGGGACAAGAAATACAACATAAACGTTTTGTTCAAACATCCTCATAGTATTTTGTTTTTAATGCATGTTTCAGTGTGATATTAAGAATGTTAACTGTTAACTAGAATTTTAAAATGTTTAAAATAATCTTCACAGGTAAGAAAACTTACCTGTAACATACTGAACTCTAAGCTGATTATTAACTTCATATTTATTAGTAGTGATGGTGTCTTCAGGTGACGTAAGAGAAAATTGTTTTACAAGTTGAGGAACATTTTAGAGAATTTAAAGTCCTTCGTGTTTTTTTTTTTGTTGTCACGTTAAAGTTTGATCATTAAAAACAATCTCTTGCAGGAGTAGCAATAAAGACAGAAAGAGCCTTTTAAAGGTGCGGTTGCCTGAAAAATTATTTTTTTAAATGATTATTTCTAATTGTAATCGGTCACTCAGTTTTTCATGCAGGCTGAAAATGAAAACATGTATTTTACATCTATCTCTGTTTGTTTCTGATGGAAAATAGACAACAAAATGATAGAATTTGAAAATACTCACACTGTGAGGTCACACTGTGAATTAACATTCATGACGTTGCCTATCTTGGCCCACAGGAAGACTTTTTAAAAGTTTTTTTGCAGTGAGGAGAGAGAGCGGAGAGTTTCTTGCTGACAGCGACTGTAACATGGCTGAACTTGTTCTTATAGCTAATCAGAAGTGCGGTATACTCCTATCATTAATAATAATGAGTTATCCTGCTGTTTTGGGCCCACCTCTGCACCAGCAAAGTTCTGCATCTCAGGAGCATCATAGGTTTTTTATACAATGACTCATAAGGCATTGATATACAATAGAGAACACTGCAAATGTATTGAACAAATGAGTAAACCACACCTTTAATAAATGTTATATGCAGATAAACCTTCCAGTTTTATGACCCTGACCTCTGGAATGGTCTGCCAGAGGACCTCAGGGCTGCAGAGAGTAGGACCTAAAATGGTTCTTGGAACTACAGAAAAGGTTCCTACAGTTCAAAAGCGCCTAATGTTCATGTTTTTAAGGCCATGCTCAAGACTCACCTTTTTAGTATAGCTTTTAGCTGAATTTGATCTATTTCAGCCTGTTTAGCCATCTTTTATATATTTCATCATTTGCATTATATATATATATATATATATATATATATATATATATATATATATATATATATATATATATATAATTGTTGGTTTCTACTTGGTTGTCTTTTATCAGTGTGTTTTAATTTGACTTTAATTTGTCTGGTGTTTATGCTTAGTTTGGGTTTTAAGTTGTTGTCTTAATCTCTTTAAGTTTTACCAGTGTTTCCTTTGTGGGGGCCATCTACCCCAGGAGAGGGGGTTGGCCGTGGCTGCCTGGGTGCTTCTCGTGCCTCCTCTTGGTGCTATGTGGTGGTGCCCCGGCTGCTGCTCCCAGTGCAGTTGGCTCCTTTTGATGGCGTTTTCGTCTTCTTTGTTGCTTATTGCATCTGTACTCAGCTATTTGTCCTTTCACTTTGGCTTGTGTGTGTGTGTGTGTGTGTGTGTGTGTGTGTGTGTGTGTGTGTGTGTGTGTGTGTGTGTGTGTGTGTGTGATGTGGTTGTTCTTAATATTGTACAGAGCTTTGAGTTGCACTCGTTGCATAAAAAGTGCTTCATAAATAAAATTTGATTTGATTTGATAATCAATTATAGGAGGTGAGACATCACTCCAGCAGAAATATCCTTAAAACAATTAAATACATTTGCCAACATTTTCAAATCTTTGTTCAAATAAAACTAAACCAAATACTTAGCACTGATATATTATTTGTCTTTTAGACAGAAAGGCTGCCATCTACAGACATCCCAGTCAGAAACAGAAGTCCTGAACATCCCCGCAGTAAGAAAACACAAAAGCAATCCTCTCACCTAGCTGGAGGAGTCTGGATCTCCAACCAGAGACAGGAAGAACCTACTTTGTGGAGCAGCTCGTGACATCAGCAGAACTTCAGACAGTGAGAGAAAGTACTTGTACACATGTCAGTACACATTTAGTCAGAAGAGGATTCATGCAAAGAGCTGCTTATCAGAACTGGAACACAAAAGAAAGGTGCAGCTTGACCCGGGATCAGAATACTCTATCACTAATCTGAACTACCTATTGAAGATACCGGTAAGTCACTACATCTTATTTTCCACCACAAAATATTTTGCATTTTTGGATAACAATATGAAAATCTAACATTTCATGTGAGATTATTTTTTTTCTTTGATTCAGCCAAAGAAGCATGTTGCATAAACTTAATAAATGAGCATTCAGAGGTCTAACACTGATTCCAGTTTCAGAGCGATGGAGGGAAACCCTTGCTGCACTCTGGCTGTTCTGATCATCCTTGTAATCTCTCCTGTCAAGTCGTGGTGTAGAGGCGAGACCTTCAAATCACAGCGAGAGGTAGACTGCTGCACCCATGTCTCAGCCTCCAAAGCAACGCAGGAGATGTTTTATGTAGACAGTGAAGCTTAGCTACATAAACGTAATTATTTACTCTTGGCTTTGATCTCAGGGAAGTGAAACCGCAGTACAGAAGAGGATTCAGACCATAGATACTGACAGCTTTTTTGGTCTTATGGGAAGAAGAGACGTTTCTCCAGTCAGAAGTGAGTACTGGATTTCACTGAATGCTGCTTTCAGCATGAATAAATGAAGAATTAATAAAAAATAATAATGCACATTTTTTAAATAAAGAAAACAATGCATCTTATTAATTTCTGGTCATTTTAGTCCAAATACAATTTGGTGATTTTCTGCAAATGAACTTCTTTGTCATCTAAGTTGCAAAGTTTTCATGAGCTGACAGAGACAAAATAAGTAATCACTTATCTTTTTAAGTCACGTCGATCGCATTTTTACTGAACTTCTGAGGCAAACCTTGAGTGAGTTCACATAAGTGAATCAGTGCTCTGATGACATTTACACCAATAATCATAAATATTACACCCAACAAATAGAATGCCTGATCTCATTTGAACTGTTGTAAAAAATGCATTATTTTTAAGGCTTTCAAAAATAACATTTTTTCAAGTTTAATATTTTTCACAAATGCATTTTCTGTTATAGAAACAGCTGAATCATATAGATGTATACTTCTGTGTTTCTATCAACGCTTAACTAACAGAATTTATATTTTGTTGCTGTATCTCACACATTTGCACAGACTATGTTTGCAGCTCAAAATAAACGCAGAGTAAAACAACTGAATTAGTGAGTATTCAGGTGGAGGTAGTGAACAAAAATATAAACGCAACACTTTTGTTTTTGCTCCCATTTTTCAGTGGGCAGTCTAAGGCACACCTGTACATTATTCAAGCTGTCTAATCAGCCCCGTGACATGTGTAGACAAATTTTCAGATGTTTGAGTTCAGCTCATAAAGAATGGGAGCAAAAACAAGTGTTGCGTTTATATTTTTGTTCAGTGTATATTTCATGCTCTTCCAATAAGATTTACACTTTTAAAATAATCAAACGTCTAGAGACACTCTTGTGCTGTTAAGCTAAATTATAATAAATATACACGGAATTATTTTGTGAGAGCCAAGTGAAGAGGCAGCTTTGAGCTCTTTAGCAGTTTGCCATGTTTGTTTTTATCGGGTTTTTTTGTGATTAAAGCACCAAATTTTCACCTTAAAACAAGTATGTAACAGGTCCTAAAGTCGCTGGGACAAGCATGACCTCCATATTCAGTAAAACCTGCAGCATGGTGGCGCAGTTGTTAGCACTGTTGCCTCGCAACACGAAGGTTGCAGGTTGGAAACTCGACTGCAGCCTTTCTGCGTGGAGTCGCGTGTTCTCCCCATGCATGCGTGAGTTTCCTCTGGGTACTCTGGTTTCCCCCACAGATCACAACATGCCCTATAGGTTATAAATTGTAAGTCGCTTTGGATAAAAGCGTCTGCCAAATAAATAAACATGAACATAAAAACCACTGCTACGTCATCTTTAGGGTCTGAGAAACATTAATAATCCTCTTTAATGCCACAGCTCAGCTTACTTTGTGCAAACAAAAGCATTACATTTAGCCCAGAAAGGCATCACTGGGACCTTTCAGGTGACATGAAAATTTGATTTAAATTACGATTAAAATGCACGATAGTAATGTCATAACTGCACATCTTCCTTTGTGCAACAGGAGAGTGCTGCCTGTCTGTGCACGTGATTCTGCAGAAGAATGGATGCAGGTTAATCATTTGTGAAAAGCAGAGGTGAGACTTTCAGCTGTCCTAAAATTAAATTTGCCAATAAAACGGTGACCTTTAAATCCTATTTGTCTTTCCTCAGGACCCCACCCTCGTCCTAAGGGAGGTGACAAACATCCTTGTGTGAAAAACAGACTGTAAATGATCTCGCCTTTCAAAGAAATACCAACTGTGACAGAGCTTATCAGGAGAGATCACAGGTTCAGCAGCCAGAGAGCTGAGCCACTCCTGATCATCTTTCCATGACTACTGGATAAAGTTCTTAGATAAAATAGTGTTTGCCAACAAACAAATGTGAAACACAAGAAGATTTACAATAAAATATGAATTTTATTTACAGTCAATCAAGTATTTGTCACTAAAAACGATCACACCAATTGTGTGCTTACACACTGTCAAAAGTATTTACACACTGATGATACTGACTCGATTGAAACGTCAATACTAACATAAATACATTTCAGATATAAATACACCACTGTACACATTGGAGAAAATATTCAGAACTATTAGATTGTCATGGAAGGGAGGTGCGGCATCGACGACGCGGTCAGCGAGGAACCTAAATCAGCAGCGTGATCGTTCGTTCCAGTAGAAACCAATGTGGAAAACATTTCTGCTTGAATACAGTTTTTAACTTGAGTTCACACACAAACCAAAAGCAAGCAGAACACAAAACTACTCTGATAGGCAACTGTTAGGTCGTACATGTAAAACATTAAAAATACAAATAAAGGCTTCAGGTGGTTAAAAAAACCAAACAAAAGTGCATCATGTTTCTTCAGTGCTGTCATTTGGATATATTTTACTGAAGAGACGCTTGGAAATAATTCGAAATCGATAATGCACAAACTATGAAAGAAATGCTCTGGTCCATTCAGAGTTTCTGGAGCACATGACCTTCATAAAACCAAACTAGAGAGGGAGGGAGAGGGAAAACGAGCATCCATAATCCTCTCACCATTCTAACATCACAGTGCAAAGTCGTGTGAGCAGCCGATGGCTCGTACAATCTCAGTTTACAAGGCACAGACGTGGGACATGCAAAACGCGTGAATCCAGCTCCACTTACACGGACAACGGGACGGTGGTTGTGGCTGGTTCGGAAGGTCGGGTTTTGATTTCGCAAGATACAAGTTCATTTGGTTTTCTACCTCCTCATCCAGCTGGTTTAAAGTAAAGATACTTAAAAGTCTGTTAACGAAAACAAACAGTGGGTGTCAGCACTCTTACAGGGGTCTTTGGAATAAACAAAGGAAGGGTTTTATAGTTACTATGAACTAAATTCACTGGTAATGTTAAGGTGTTTGATTAGGATTCAGACTAGATTTATTCTCCACTGCCAGCTCATCAGAACCTGTTACCATGCAGCCCAACAGCACCCCCCCTCCGAAGGTTAAATGTTTGTTTTTGCATTTCTGAACCACAACTCTTTACAGGGACAGTTAGAGAAAGCTGTGCTCCCTTTCACAAAGAGCTGAACAGCTTTCTAGTAGCATTAATAAGTTTTTTGACTAAATTGACCCTAAACTTTTTAATATTTGCCAAAAGGTCCAAACATTTATATTTTTCACATGACGTTGAGAAAAACGGCCTCTTAGTCTGGCTTCACTCTAAAGCAGATGTGGACTTTTGGGAACGTAACCAGGAAGTTTATTGAACCTTTATGACCCGAACGCTAAGAAAATACCAACATAAAATTATTTATAAATGAGCATTTAAGATCGATGTAAATCTCCAAAGAGCTTCATGTAAATAAAAGCATAATTGACAATGTCAACTGAATGTTCCCACAACACATCATGTCACTTATGCCGTTAAAACTGGTTGGCTGAACACAAAAGCTTCAGGACTCATTCTGAAAGACTTGACTCATCTTACAGGTCAGAACATACAGGTTCCCCCTGTTCAGCTCTACGTCTCTCAGAGAAATGAAGTCAAACAGCTTTAGCAAGTCAAGAAAAAAGTGGTTGTGCTGGTAAAATGCAGTTAACAGGCAACTGTAGCCGGCTCACGCAATCGTAAAAACCACCAAATAACAACAATAGAATCATCTTGGGCTGAGAGGCTGACTAGCAGTACCGGTAGACAGTCCTCACTAAAAGCAAACCCTCTGCTTCTGAATCCTGAGGCCAAGCACTGGGATGTGGAAAAGCTTAAAATAAAAGTGGTTTCATGCCTCAAGTCCAGGTTAACAGAGAAAAATTGATAAACACTAAAAACTTCACAAAATCCCATCCACTTCCTGCCTGCCTTAAAACAGCACAGCGTCACTCTTCTGCATCAGGAGGAGGGTCTTTCCCAGCTGCTGGGGGGGGGTCTGGGTCCTGCTCTTGCGCCGATCTGGACGGATTATCAACTTTTCCGTGCTCTTTCTCCTGAGAAGCCATCTGCTTTTGTCCATCTGCAGAATTCGGGAAACTCAAGTGTTCAATTCTGTAGTTCTTTGGGGTGGGGGGCTGGTAGCGGTATTTATAACCAAAGGCACGCAGGTGATAGGTGTAGTATTCCAGTAAATACATGCCCGCAGCATCCACATAATGGAAAGACACCGATATATCCGAGCAGCAGCTAGGACCCTGGGAAAAGACGAATGAGGCGTTTTAGCAACACTGGAGAACATCATGGCGTTCCGTTTTCTGTGAGCAGAAAACACATTACACTGGAAAGGAAAACTTTGGCCGATTAGCTAAAAACCACAGCCGCAGCTCACAGAGATTAAGGATAAGTATGCCATAACAACATTTTATCCTTTTATCCCAGGTGTGCATACTTATACCAGCTTAGGGAGTATGTAGGGATTAAAGCGAACTTACCTCAGAGATGGGATAGTAACAGTAGCTCCAATACCAAAAGCTCTTTGGGAACTTGGCAGTGAGGTGCTGCTCCGGGACAAAGGGATGAAATGTCTCTCTGTGTGAGGTGTCTCTGGAGTCTCCTGCCAGCACCCCAACCTTCTCCATGCACTGCCCCATTGCCAGATCCTCTACAGAGGTAGTGTGAGTGCACACTTTGTTTGTGAAACCTTCCACAAACCTCCGCAGAGCCTCTCTGCTCAGCACGTAGCCCGCACCGCCGCTCATGTACCCCTGCTTGGTGTAGGGCTTGAATCGTCGGCCGAAGTAGATCGGCTCGTCGGGCGTGTGGTTGGCCAGGACCCAGCGCAGATTGTCCACAATTACATAGGTGTCGTCATCCGCCTTGAGGAACCAGTCGGCCTCGTTGGCATGATGATCGTAGGCATAATGGAAGGCTCGGATGGTTTTCCAGTACAGCTGATCGCGACCCTCTTTGGTGCCCAGTCCCACCGTGGGGAAGTCGGGGTCGTCCACGGAGCTCATGAAAACCACTATGTTGCAATGGCGACTCCAAGTAGACTTCACATGCCGAGCCTTCTTCTCCAGGTTGTTGGGCCCAGTCATCACCCAGCAAAGAATCCGCACCTTTTTGTACAACTCATCAGCCACGCGGCCATCTTCTCCTGGGGAAGAGATACGAGCATCAGTGCAAAGTCCATCTGCATTCACAACCTGAATACCTATGCTCTCAGGGGGTGTGGCCAAAATATTTGGTATCAAAATAAAATCTTGATCTGCAAAAACAAAAAAGAAGGGATGTTTGTAAATGGAAAAAACTATTATAATTGAACATTTGATTTAGTTTTCCATCCATCCCTTTTTGTCCACTTATCTGGGATCAGGTCACGAGAGCAGTAGCCTAAGCAGGGATTCCCAGACTTCCCTCTCCCCAGCCACTTGGGTCAGCTTCTCTGGGAGGATCCTCCCTCCAGCGTGTCCTGATCAGCCCTGCTATCATGTCAATTTACTTTTTTTCTTCTTAAATGTTTATGCTTGTAATTTCTGTCCTATTGATGCAACAAATAAAAATTTACAATAAAATGTGAATCAGGTATTTGTGGTGACCTCCTGGATCAATGAAACCACATAGAACTTTATTAACTTACATTTTAGGAGGATAAAAACCACTAGAGATGTGCCAATAAAAGCAAGATAGCAGAGTAAACAAAAATAAATAAACTAATCTAGAACATTAATCACAAATGTATAATCATTCTTTTGTGACGTGTACAAAATATATTTCGACCCATATATACACTAACACATGTACATACACATGAAGCCATTAAATAATGAAATCCATAAGCCGGAAAAGAGAATGGATTTCTTTTAATCGTTTGAGTAAACTGGAGTCATGTAACAGTCTGTGCTGAAAACTCGATCTGAACGATCTGAACCAGCAACATCCAGATAACACTCAATAAGAAGAGCCTGAACCCTTTAATTCACTGACAAGCTGCCCAGCACAGCCGCAGCTGGTCAGGTAAAATCAAACGGACTTGATTTTTAAATAAAAAACGTAAATCAATAAGAACAAAGTGCAAACTTCCTTGTTTCCTCGCTGCAGATAAGCAGCAACTACGGAGCAGCATGTGATTTCCAGAATGAACATGACTTTCTACCACGCATATGTACCAGAATTCTGATTAAAACAAAAAAAACTTTTGTTACTTTGAAGTAGTGTTTCTCTCAAAAGGGAAGTGCAACTTGATCACACATTACCCACGTAACAAAACAGCAATCATGTGAGAAAGTAAAATAGTAGCTATATTTATTGCCAGAAATGTACTTCTACTTGTTTCACAACTCTAACCAGAATGTCCAACAGTCATAGAAACTAAGTGGTTTTAATGCTAATGTAAAACGGTGGGGATAAAACAGGTACACCGGTGAGATTAATCCCGGATATTAAACTATGCTTCGGCCCACTGAATAAAGAAGCGTGTCTAACCTAAAGCGTCAACAGTACGTACCTATATGATGAGGGTGCTTCAAGTTGAAAAGAGCAGACCTCTCTTTCTTCCATAATTTATCCTCTCCCCCGAGCTGGTCAAAAAATTTGCCGAAGCTGTTGGCCTGCTGCTCCGCTACGGTCCTCTCAAACCACATCTGCCGCAGAAACACGTACAGTGTGAAGGTTCCCACCACAAAACCAGCAAAAAAAGAGAATCTGTATCCCAGGGCCTTCATGCTGGATCGGGTGACCTAATGGCAGCAGTTGAGTTTAGCAGCTGAACGTGAGAGAAGAAAGAAGGAGAACGAGAGCACAGAGGCTTTAGTAGTCGCCGAGCTGGCCGCAGAGGATATGACAAGAGTTTAAAGAAAGTAACAAGTGTCACTCCCCGTTTGAGGAGTGGTTAACTTACTCACCAGGTCCAGCTGTAACACACACCATGGCAGCGATTATCCTAAAGCTACTTCCTCACCACAGACATAAACTCCGAAAAGCGTTTCCTTTGCGCACGATACCAGATCAGCTAGCCATGGAGCTAAGCTGACAGAACTAGAGAGTTATCTGAAACGATGACTGAAAAACAATACTTGTCCCGCTGTTTACTGCCGTGTTGGGTCTGCTGGCGCAAGCTAACTGGCTAATCCGTTATTTGGTCGACGGCGCTAACGTTTAACTTCGGCGTCAAGTTATTCAGCCGCCCGTAGCTAGCAAAACCGCCACAGAGCTAGCTGACCGACGGGGCTAATAAAAATAGCATCTTCTTGGTTTCTCCGCACAGAATAAACAATAATATACAAATGTTCCGCTACGCTGAACTACATTTACAACTTGTCTGACTGACTGTTGACTTCCGCCTAAAAAATCGACACTTCCGGTCAAAATACAAAATTAGAGTTAATCCCCTCCATAACGAACTAATCAGATAAACCATCCGTCCAATAGACTGTGCATCAAGTGCACATTTTTTCCTCAGATCTGAACAGGCAAGTTTTCTATTGAAATATTAAAGTTGAAAAAGGTAGAGAGTCATTTTCTGTAGATAAAAGAAACATAACACCTTTCAGAAATGTTTCCAAGCAAAATTAGAAGTTTTGCGTAGGTGATCATGTAAAAGTGGAAACTACTGGCTCTGTACGTGGGACAAGTAGAAACCAGTGTTTACAGGTTTAAATCTCTACTGAATATTACAGTGAAAGGGCTCTTTGCACACTAATGTGTTCATGTGAGACTGTGCACTGTATAATATTCATATAAGCAGGCAAGTATAGGCTATACACAATATTTTGTATTATAGCTCATTAAAACTCTTGAATTACTGTTTTTTTAACCAACAAGATTAAAAAAACATATATCGTAATGTATTTCACTTACTGTAGAGAATCTATAAATGATGTGAAGCCCACATTATCACTTGTGGAAAACGTCCAGAGAGAGAGAGAGAGATGCTACAGAGGATGGATTATTGTCACAATAATACATTTTTCAGTTATGATTATGGGCTGGGTGTAGGCGTTATTGCTGGTTGTTGTGCAATAAAAATCCTTCATTATACAAGTCAGTAGAGCCATTACCATTTGATGTGAGCAGTTTAGATCATGTCCCAAACCGGATTATCTTGAAACTCTCATGGGAAGAAGAGTCGAGGCAGAACCACTGTCTGTAAAGTTCAATGTATTGTGTCAATGGACAGATTAGAAAGTCCACCTCTATGGTAGTGTATAGACTAGCAGACTATTTATTGATGATGGGTCTGATCAGTTATTTTCCTGTGTGTCTTGGGAAGACTGTAAATGCACAGTGTAGAATCTGTAATAGTAGGCTTGAATAACACCTTAGTCTCTTTCATGTCTCTATAAGCAGTCTGACTTCCATCCTCTCATTTTCATCCGCTTATCTGGGATCGGATCGTGGGGGCAGCAGCCTAAGAAAAGAGGCCTAGGCGTCTCTCTCTGCAGCTACTTGGGCCAGCTCCTCTGGGGGAATTCCAAGGCGTTCCCTGGCCAGCTGAGAACATAGTACCCCCAGCGTGTCCTAGGTCTTCCTTTGGGTCTCCCGGTTGGACATACTCAGAAAACCTCACCAGGGAGGTTTCCAGGAGGGATCCTGAGATGCCTGAGCCACCTTAACTGGCTCTTCTTGACGTGGAGGAGCAGCGGATCTAGTCTGAGCCCCTCCTGGATGACTGAGCTTCTCACCCTATCTCTAAGGGAGAGCCCAGCCACTCGGAGTAGACCCGCTTATCTTTTGCATCGAGAGGAGCCTGTTGAAGTGGCTCAGGCATCTAGTTAGGATACTTCCCAGAGGTTTTCCGGGCACGTCCAACCAGGAAAATACCTAAAGGAAGACCCGGGACACACTGGAGACTATGTTTCACGGCTGGCCAGCGAACGCCTTAGGATTCCCCTGGAGGAGCTGGTCCAAGTGGCTGGGAAAGGGAAGTATGGGCCTCCCTGCTTAGGCTACTGCCCCGGGGACCCAACCCTGGATAAGCAGCCAAAAATGGATGGACGGACAAACCTGTCTTGTCTTTACAAATTCATTATGAATCCGCTCAACTTAGAGCAATAAAAAAGTCATACACTCAAGAGTACACCAGAGATTCAGTTGGTGACGCATACAGTCAATTCACCAGCCACAATAAATATTCTAACGAAACTCAGTTGACTATGTAAAGAAACACACCCATTTTCTTTTTAATGCCTCTGTGCTTAAACCAGTTTGACGCACTTCCATTGTTCCAAAGATTTGTTTTAGAAAAGATCTTCCACAGAATTCTCAAACATATTTATTGGGGTAGGTCAACTCCCACTTAATCTGTGCTGAATTACAACCAAATAAAAGACAGACAGAATAATTATGTACACACTTTAGCTCCAATAAGCCAAATTTTTTACAAACTGTACAAATTCAGCCCCTCTAAGTACATGACTGAAGGGTTTTGTGAGCATCAGTGAATTTGGTACACTAAACCTAGTTAACATCAAAGCTGCATTCATTTATTAAATTAAGGTAGTTTAAAGATTTCCCTAAAAATGCTTGAAAGACACCTCCAAGCACGTAGAGGTCCTTGTAGCTTAGAAAAAAAAATTAAACAAAACAAGACTCCATAACTAAGTTTTCAGTTTGTGTAATTACTTCAAAGATTCCAAGTGTATTACCTTGGTTACAAATAATCATTTATTCTATTTTTGTTTACCTCTGATGCTCGACATACTAAAATGTGCCAGAATGTAAAAGAAAAAGAAACAACTGCAATTGGAATGCGAAGCTTTGAGCATTTGTTCTCGGTTTTTCAGAGGCGACAGTGCTTGTTATGGAAGCAGATATTCAGCTGATGTCCACAAAAACTCTCCATCCGAGTCGCTCACGGGTTTGGGCTCCAGAGCCAACATCGAAGACAACACAAACATGGTTGCGGCTTCAGAACACGCTTGTTTAACAAAATTGGAAAATTATTCTAGAAACGTTAGCTTTAGCTCACCCAGCTACTTTGGCCTTCTACAAAAACTGAATCCCATCAAAAAGGGAAGATGCATAACGTCCTTCAACTACAACCACAGCTAACAAGCTGCAGTGTCTTCGTGCAACGCATGAAAGTCGTCCTTTAGAGATGCTGAAAGTATTGCCTTTACGAGAAAACTCATTTTCTGAATGTGCAAACAGCTGAGATCCGTATAATCTGCCAGGATTAACAGCAATTATTGAATGAAGAGAGTTGTTTATCAAATCTGTGACGACACATTGTAGTCCTTCTCCCTGCTTGTTTCCACAGGAGTTTACCATCCAAGTAGGGGTACTGGGGGTGTTGTATGAGCTCAAATGTCTACGTCGTCCGAGTCGGACGTGCTGGATGACTGGGTATCCTCCTGGTTTTCTCCCCACACAAATCTATAGTTATTCTCCAACTCCTGTTGCCTCTTTTGCTCTTTGTAAACCTCTTCAGTGCCACCAGTCTGAGGAGTAAAAAACAAAAAGGCATTTCATGTGAAAAACAATCAGCCTTTCAGATCTAAATGTCCCTCGACTTTAAACAAAGTTTAAACTCATACCTGTTCCTGCATTCCTGCAGGGAACACAGACCCTTTGCTCCTAACCCAAATCAGCCCGGAAGAATGATTAACCCAAACAAAATGGCTGACTATGACATAAAACCCCTAAGTCTTCACACGGAGTTACTTCATCACCACAAAATCATAGATGTAAAGGTTCCAGGTCATGCCATTTTAAACATTTGTGAACAAAGGTAGGAACATTATATAAATAAGAGTTATTTTCGTCAGCCTGAATTTGTATCCGGAAATAAAATGCTTTGTTTCAGTGAAACTCCGCCTACGCCCGCTCGGACAAAATGTGACTACAACAGCATCTTAGGCGAGTCAGTCACTGCACTGGTTATGGTAGTCCAGAGGTTAAGACGTCAGCCTGAGCACACGAACCACTAGACTACCAAGTCTGCTACATGACACCAATCGCCTAAGCTACATATCCTAAGCTGGCCACGGGAGACAGTTTTCAGAACAGAGACTGGCTTCGGGGAGAGGAGCTAGTCTCTGATGACGAGACTAGTTTTCATTGACACTTACCAAGATTTTGAAAATAAAACTCAAAATTTGCAGCTGAAACAGGAAAAGGCATGAATGCAGCCAAAGGTGGGTTAGGTTGTTTTATTTCATGAGAAAATAACTATATCAGATGATAAAAAGCTCCAAAATGTGGATTTTCCATGATATGGCTCCTTTAAGCCCCACCAAGTGTCACGTGTGAACTGTATTAGGATGCCGAAACAAACAAAACAATATTGTTCTCTGGGAACTTCAAAGTGCAAAAACCCTTCAAGAGAAAAAAAAGTTTTCTAGTCAGACAGATGAAGCCGAGTAGAGGTAGACAAAAATACATTTAAATTAACAGCACCGGGCTGCCCGAGGACGTGCCTGACTTTAAATCGGCTTTACTAAGGACAAATAATCGGTCTACCCCTAAAGCTGAATTCAAATTTAACAGCACTGATTCACAAACAAGGTCTGGATGGATGAAGTCTCCACTTTATGTTGAAAGTATGAAAACCAGCCTTTTCTTTTCATTCGGAGTCACAACAGACCATTAAAGATATAAAAACAAAAGAGGAGCTACATGTTGGAGAAAAGACAGTCAGCAAACCGATCCGAACGAGGGCAGAGCATCGGAGCCAGCTGGAACAACAAAACAGTGGAGTGAAAAATGGATCTGATGGCAAAATCCGGAGAAAACTTCACCAGTAAAACCTAACAGTAAGGATCCCATTTCAATAAAACATCAGCATCGAAATCTACCCGTAAACTACTTCAAGAATTCGACGTAGCAGCGGTACGTTTCGGATGAATGAACTAAACCTGAGCAGCACACAGCTGCAACCAGACATAGCATAAGTAGATTTCACACCCGTTAGGATTAAAACTAACTCAGAGTACTGGGATTACCAGCAGATTTATGAGTAGCTCCCTGAAGGACTTTGTATCCTCTTCCGTCAACCACTGGTCACCCGCCTCATCTGCATTCTTTCTTGTCAAGATCTTCACCTCAATTTTACCTTGAGAACAGAGAAAAAACCCATAAAAATTAAAACACAACCACACAAAAGAGAGATAAACAACTCGGTATGAATGATGTGAATGGTACTTTCAGTGGATGGAAGGAAATGAGAAAAGAAAGAAGACACATGAAGGAAAAACTCTATTTCTGGTTTTCTTTAAGAAAAGATTCAGCTTACAGCACCCGTGTTTTTAGATTTGTTAAACATTCAGCTCCTTCTTAAAGGCTAAACCTTTGGAAAAAGTGGTGAGAAACCAATCGACAAGATGGGAAGAGAAATGCAGTGCTGCACGCTGAAGACAGGAGATGGAAAACAGAAAAGGCCGTGAGTATCGCAGCACTCCTCCATCATACCTTCGGCCTTTAGTCCTGCCTTCTCTAGCTGCTCTTTAACCACGTCCTTTATGTGCTGCCACTGGGGGTCTCCTTCGCCCATCTCCTGACCTCTGACCTCCCCATCAGGGCTGCTGCCCGTCTTATACTTAGTAATTTTGATCTTAACGTGGTCGTCAGCTGCTTGTTCTGGGGTGGCGAGACAAAAGAGGGACAAAAGAGACAATTCACCTAAAATAAAAAAATAAAAAAAACACCTCATCATCAGGGTCACTGGATGGAGGTGATAAGCGCCATCCAAAACACCTTTTTATATTCATGCCAGCTCTGCTGGATAGATTCACTTATTGGGTTTGACTTTTATAAACTTCCATTTTGATTTGGATGAATTAAAACAAAGTCACCCGCTGTCACGCTGGTGGCAGCAGAAGAAAAGACCACCAGAACATCCAAAGACTTTCTGATCTTTGAATCGATCCTTTCTGAGATGAAGAACGTCACCACAAACATTGACCATGCAGGTGAATGATGTGAAGATGAGACAGAATGAGTTTACACGATGACGACGAGAGGGCGGGTCATACAGCCCGTAAACGTTACCTGGCTGTTTGGGTGCCAGGCTTGGGCTGCCTCTGGTCGGGTCGCTGCCTCTTTGGACCGTTTGCTGCTGTGGGTCCTGAACATCTTTCTCCTCCAGATGATCCAGCAGCTTATCCAGTGTTGTCTCCAGTGTTTGTGTTGCCTGGGTCCGATCAAACTCCCCTTTCAGACCTTCGGTTTCCAGTTCCTGCTGGGCCTGAAACACAAACCACTATAGCTCATACATGTTCTGTTAAACATAAACAAATCTCATTTCTCAACATGGCGTCTCTTTTCCTGAAACCTCGTCTATGATGTTGTCAAACTCCTTCTGCATTTCCTCTTTTATCTCTTCGATTTTGTCAGCAGGCACAGAGAGGTCAGCCATCTCATCTTCAAACTCCTCCAACAGCTGATCATCTTCATCCTTCTCATCTCCTCTCAGCTTCTCCGTTTGTAGGTCGCTTGTTGATTTCTCTTCACTATTTTTAGCCTGGCTTTGTGCTTTCTATGAAATAAATACCAAAAGGTAAGAAAAAAATGTTAAAATTTCTATTTCAAGAAAAGGTATGATTTAAAAAGGAGGACCAAAAAGAGACAAAGGACCGACCTTCCTATTGCTTTCCTTCAGATGTTCAACAAAATTCATCAGGTCTGCCGGGTCGGTGATGATCTTAAAGTTGAAGTTTTCTATCAGACAGTAAGAATTAAAAGAAATGCATAGCAGATGATCACAGAGTATTTATTTAAGTGTGTAATTTAAAAAAAAAGGCTACAGATTCTATAGACTACACTATAATATAAATCGGTACCTTCATCACCATCGGCGTCTGCTGCTGGGTCATAATCACTTTCTGTGACCTGTCAAAAATCAAGTTAGGAAATTTAAGATGGAAAAGTGAAAACTACACCCTCTGGTGGTTTGCATTATGCTGTCTGGTTTCAAAAATATACAAACTGATAGAGATTTTCACACCTCATTATCCTGATGAGAAACCGGAAGCTTTGATTTTCCTGGTCTTTCAACTCCTTCCCAGAAATCAGTGTCTTCTGATGTTGCATCTTCAGATATTTCTGCCATTTCTGGTGAAAAGCAGACAGATTTGATCCAAACGAAACAGCTTTTGACCTGCTAAAGCCATAAGAACAAATTACAATCACTAAGTTAGGATGACTAATATGCACCTTTTCTATCAGAAGGGCTGGGGTCACCGCGAGGTCCAGCCGACGTCTCCTCTGCCGTTACTCTCACTGTTCCTTCTGCCCCTTCGTTACCAGCCAACATCTCATCGAGGCTCTTCAGCTCCTCAGAGATCTGCTCTACTTTACGCTTTGTGTCCGCTGGAAACACACAGATGAAGACGGGAAAGTGAGAGGCAGAAAAAAAACAAAGGTTGTCAAAACACTGTTGTTTTACTTAAACCATGGAATAAACTAGATGAATTTTATACCGTAAATCATTCGTTTCATTCACACTTAATTACAACCATTAGTCATGTTTAATTTTATTATTGATATTTTTCTCACTCAAAATAATATGTAAATAACTGACAAATATGAAACAGAAATCAAAACATTTGCATTTTGTTTTTCATATACGTTTAAGCATAGATTCCTCACATGCATTTCTGTTAGGTAGAACCCTCCCAAATCCTCAAAGATCAAAACAAAACCAGGAAACTAAACACTGTGACCTTTATCTTCACTCACAGACTTGAGCTTTGACGTAATCCATGTACTGCTGCGCACTTAGTGCTGGCTGGCACACAATACCCTGCGGCTTGGCAGTGGACGGTGGCCGCAGGAGAGGATGCTGGCAGGTGCGACTGGTGTGAACCGTCAACACGTAGCGACACGACTGAGGCTCATCCACACGGGCGATGTAGTCGCTTGAGCCTTCTTCGCACACAAACTGGAAAAATGTAGAATCAAGTTTATTTATATTTGCACAAAAAGATCTTTACAGGTATCAGTTACAAAGGTGACTCCTTCAGCTGTGTCATGTTCAGCGTCCCCATCATGCGTCCCCTTGTGTTCCCCATCCCTCTCTAGGTTTTCTCCTTAGGTTTCTGTGTCCCTGTGGTCCCCAGCCCCTAGGTTTCCCTCACATCTCCCTTAGTCACCCCACTTATCATTAGGTTTCCATCATGTTTGGATCATTTAGTCAGTATCTCCCTTTGGTTCATTTTTGCTTCCTTCCTGTTAGGTCTGGTTTCCTCCCCTGCTCCATTCTGCTCCACCTCTCAATTCATTAGTCTCACCTGTGTCCAATTCCCTTAATCACCCAGCCCCTGTGTATATAACCCTGTCTGCGTCTCAAGCCCTATCCACACGTAGCCGGGGATCTGCCAAAACAGATATTTTTCTACGTTTTGGCCTGTCATCCACACGAAAACTGAGTTTTTTCACACGAAAACTGATCTTTTTAAAAACTCCGGCCAAAGTGAAGATCTGTGTTTTCTCCGTTTTGGGTGTCTGCGTGTGGACAGACAAAACCGGAGTTTTAAGGTCCGCAACGTCACTTTCCGAGACAAAAAAAGCTGACATCACGTGTGTGACCTGTGTTTACACTAGCCGACAGCATGGATGCCCTCAGAGCTGCGCTCGCTTTATCAATTGTCCAAGCGCTTTTTGCTTGTTTGTTTTTGCAAGCGGAATTACTGCTCCTTGCAGAAGACCACAGATGAAGGACGAGGTTAAGAACGGGGGACGTACTGCCGCCTACAGGTCTGGCATGTCCTTAACAACATATTTATCCGGGTACGCGTAGACAGAGTTTTTTTTAAACGAGGTGGTGTGGATGCAAGTTTTTGGAGGGGCGAATATTCGTTTAAAAAAAACCGGCTACGTGTGGACTAGGCCTCAGTGTGTTGTCGGTCCATTGTTGTTGTATCCGCGTTGTCTCGTTTCCCCCTCTAGGTCTCTAGGTATTTGGCTTCCACTAAGTCTCTAGGTTTGAGCTCTTTAAGTGAGCTTCCGTCTCCAGGATTTTTGGACATTGGTTTTTTGGCTTCCTGCCCTCATTGGATTTATTTGGACATTTATTCCTAAATAAAGGATTTTAAGTTTTTTCTACCTGCCTTTGTCGTCTGGGGTTTTCTGCATCTTGGGTCCTAACCTCCTCCTGTCTCACAACCTGACAAGCCATGGCCGTCGTTTTTAATGTAGAAATGAAGGACTTAAGGGTAGAATGTCCAATCTTTGAACAATCTGTTTAAGCAAGCGACATTTTTAATAAAAAAATAATTCTATGGTCCAAACCCCGTTCCTGAGGCTCCCCACTAGAGTCACAGAATCTGATGGTCTTAGGAAATGGTGACACCAAAAACAAAGGATACCTTTAACCCAAAGTAGCAAGTAATCTTATGTTTCAACCCATTGCTGACACCTTCTCTGGTCCTACCATAATACACCTATAATATTGTATACCAGTTCAGTATGCAAGCTAATATTGTGTGGCGGTTTTATGGTCCATCATTCTTGGTTTATTCTTAACTTGGTGCCATCAACCATCTGGAATGCACTTCTGATGGTTTAGGTCGGTTTTCATGGCTGATATATCTAGATGTTTTCTGCCTTATCTTTATGCTAAAATGTCAAAAATAACAAAAGTAGAGGCTCAACGTGACATGAATCAGTTAATGAATATGGAATTCAACCACCTCTTGAAATGTCATACACTGCTCAGTAATAAAATCAGACAATTGACCAAAGTTAACTGAACAAATAATAAACCAGCCAAATCTGAAACGTTCAAAACAGGTAAATAAAAAGAAGTCAGTTGACAACCATGTCTTAAAGCATTTACAAAGCAGATGTTTTTCAGGAATGTAAATATACGTGCATCCATCCATTTTCAGTCGCTTATCCGGAGTTGGGTCGCAGGGGCAGCAGCCTAAGCCGGGACGCCCAGACTTCCCTCTCCCCAGCTACTTGAGCCAGCTCTTCCAGGGGAATCCCAAGGCATTCCCTGGCCAGCCGAGAGACATAGTCCCTCTAGCGTGTCCTGTGTCTTCCTTTGGGTCTCCTCTCAGTTGGAAATATACATTTAAATAAAAATTTGCAGCAGCAGTGGGCTGTCCGCAGATGCGCCCGACTTTAAATCAACCGACGCAATATATACAAAATTGTAAATATCGGCCTGATACCTCAGTCTATCCCTGCCGTGAACCTTGTCAGACGTGCTTTCCCGACAAGCACAGAACCATACTCTAACAGAACATGTTAGACAACTCCTTAAACAAGCAAACACAAACAGAATGGAAAATTCTACCTGTGACACCAGGCAGCTCGTCTCTGGCTTTGCTTCCTGTTTAACTGCTGCTAGTCAACGACGTGTGATTAAAGCTTGTACGGGGGAGGGCAGTCAGAAGAGCAGTAAGATGGATGGATCACGATCCAATCATTAAGAATGGAACCTTAACAATGATTGGACGAGGTTTTTCCAGGATTGGATGTTTCAGAGGTGATTAAAATCACTCATTTTTTGACAAAACATTTGATTAATCGGTTGCCATCGGTATGTGAAGATTATTTAAAGAAGCAAATTATAAACAAGAACTGATGAATTGAAAAGTCTCACCCGGACTTCAGTCTCTCTTGGTTCCCCATTAAGGTCACACTTTGATCCATTAACATAAGTCTGGCTGTGGTAACGTTTCAGTTTGTGCTGTTTGGATGCCTGTGAAATGAACAGAACCAGTGCCTTAAATAATGAAATCTGTTATCGTCTTTAGCAATTGTAAAACTGCTATTTGGTTTTAATGTCACAAAACACACAGAAGCTAAGTAAAAAAAAAAAAGAAGGAAAACTGAATGCATATCCTACAGTCATTTATCTCATAAAGAGGCAACTTTAAGAGCACATACAGATATTTCTGAGCATTTTCTGTCAACAGTGTTTGAAGAGGCCTACATTTAAAGGGAGATTGGGTGTTTTGGCTTGCTTTTAGCACCTGTAGTGTCTGTTTAGAAGAACCAAAAACAAAAGACATCTACTTAATGTGCATTCCTCTTTTTAACACCTTAATCAAACAGATGAAATGTCTCCCCAGCCTTCATTAATGTCTACAGGAGTGATCCAGCACTAAATTAAACAAATCAGCTGTGTTCGTGATCTAAAACATGCAGGAAACATGCTGAAAGCAGACTGCAACCCCAGGTTGGTCAGCTCCAGTGTTTTTTTTTAAAGTCCAACAGACTGGACCGACACTCTAATGTTAAAAATGCGGTATTCTGGCCACAGAGTGTGATGGGGGTCTGAGTGAAATTTCATTAACCCTGTAAAGGGTCATTTTAGCACATATAGAAAATGATGTAAAAAATATGAAAAAGTTGCCTAATATCCCTGGGTCTGTAGTTAGTTGTTTTATTTCTTAGTTTTTGTAGTTAATAAAGACAACTTTACCTTTGCCATTTCATTGTTCCAGTCAAATTCAGACTCATAAAATCCCAGATAAAGAACACCCCCATTGATTTCTGTGTCTAAAAAAAAAGAACATCAGTCACAAACATGTCTTAAAAACATGCAGACGATAATCAGACCTGGAAAATGTATTTTTAGACTTATACAAGTTTGCAAAAATGTTATGTCAACATTTCTCCGTGTGTTAAAGACTTTTGAATCTTTAACTGTCAGAAGGTGCACAGCTACTATAAGTGTAAGAACACAAGTTTAACTTGTTTTTTTTTCTAGAAATGCACAGATGAACGGTAAACAGAATCAGCTTTTAGTGGCTTGACTGATATACCAGGCACAATCCTGTCTCAGTGATCACACTAAAGACAAGCACAAACACAAACTAGCAGGATATTTTTACTGAGAGAGGAGGATTCACAGTTAGCTGTCTGTAAGATGTTTAAAAATAACATCAGAGAAAGTGTAAAAAACATTTTACTTAAGACACAGATTTTTTAAATAGACAGTAGCGTATAATCTACAGGTCAGGTTGACTGCAGTTCATATCCTAATGATGTGAATCCAGATGAGTTCCCAGATATTTTTGTCTTTTAATAAAACACAATGAAGTTAGTAAAAGTATTGGCTAAATTGCAGCATTACTGAAAACAACATGGATATGAAAGCAATTCTCTTGTTTCTTAGTTACATGCACATCCATCCATCCATTAGAAGACCTGGATAAAAACACAACACTCAAAAAGGTCTGATAAATATGTAAGTTTACAGCAGGCAAACTGCCCTTTGTATTTATAATTTGCCCACAATTTGTCATTAGAAAAATAAGTCAATTAAGAATGCTTAATCAGAATATTTTTACCTTCAAGGTGGTACTGTTGGATATGTTTACTATGGCAAAACTCATATGTCCACCAGTCTTTTGTCTGCAGGAAATAATGACAGCAAATTTCAAATGAGGTCATTTGCATAGTGCAGTCAACAGTTTGGCAACACCTGCATATTAAACAGGTGTGTGACAGGTGTCTCTCTCAAAAATTTGACTGGTACTGATAGTTGGTCGATCTAGCTCATGCCACTTCTGATCTGAATCTTGGTCCACATAGTGAATTATGTAATCTCACATGAATGTAAACTAATAAAAAGTACACACGTCTTTAAAAAAATGTTTAAAAGCAGCTTGAGGGATCATAATCCAGAAAGTATTTGACGTTTTTTTGATTACACCTGCACAATGTTATAACTATGTAATTTGAAAAGAAACAATTGTTAATTGGTGACAGTATGTGTGATGAGGTCTGTACAGAGCTCTTAATCACTTAATTACATACGTATTTAATAAGCGAATTACATAAATAAGCATTGATTGACACCTGAAAAGTGAGAGAATACCTTTAGTAAACATGGAGATTTGTGCATAGGCTTGAGCAGGTCTGGGATGTCTGGGCCGGTGTAGGCCTGAGAGTCAGGCTCGGAGGCTGGGTCCTGGTGAAAGCGGACAGCCTGGGCTGGTAGTCGACATTCATAGAGCTGCTTGTATTTATTAGACACCATCATTACTTCCTCTGTCTTGGTCTGAAAAATAAACACTGTGATGAAACCCCAGTAATAATTAAAGGGAAGCTACACAGTATATTGGCAGTAGTTAAGTTAATTGGTCAGGTGTTTTGTGTGTGTGTGTGTGTGTGTGTGTACATGTTGTCAAGACAGCTGTCACAGTTGTCGCTCATAAATTAACAATTTCTGTCTTCGCACGAATTGGCAAAATATCTTAACGTTTCTTGCTGAGCTTAAACAAACATGTTATTTGTATTTGTAATTAAATAACCTAAAGGAATTAATATATTTATCGCTAGCAAGCTGTAGCCTACATTATAGCTAACAAGCTACACGTTAGCATCTATAGCCCTCACTCACCTGCCCTAATATCACGGGGTCAGACAGAATTTGAATCCCGTATTTCATTTCGTTTAACTCTTCCAAATTCAAGAAGGCTGGAACACAGAGGGGGCATATCAACACAAAAAGGAACAGTCTCTTCAGCCACCGCAATAATAAGGAGGCAGCCATCGTTAACACTCTTCATACACCAAGCGCTGTACAAGCATCAAAACACAGAACGCCTGACATGGTAGACGTTGATTGGTTAGTGTCAAAGTTCTTGCTCTACGATTGGTTGAATTTAATGTCAGTCACCAGTTTTTTTACTTCCAGTGTGTACTAGTTTCTTGTTACAGGGACGATTTAAACGGGCGACACAGGCACCGCTAACTAACGAACAACACCCGAACTGTCTGCTGACGCTTTACTTTACTAGACATAAAATAAACGCACACGCATACTGATTTAGATCTGCATCATTGGTCTAATGAATGAGGCGTTTATTTTGTCTATAGTTTAAAAATTAATTATTATTACAGTATAAACTGAGTCTTATTTCCTGGAAGAAGCACACACAAAATGAATTAGCATAGACGCCCACTCACACAACATATCTTACTTTAAATTTTATTTTTAAAAGACGTTGATGTTTTTAAGAAATAACTCAATTGTTGTTACTTTTGTATCTTTAAGCACAAATCACATTTTGTGGGGTGCAGACTTCATTCTGGATCCCCGGTTGCTGTGCAGCCGCTGTTGCTGCAGGGGGAGTCTTCCACAGCGCGATGTGTTGCGATGTGCGGCCGCGTTTTTATTTGCCTCTGCTCCGCTTTTCTTCTTCTTCATCTAATCCCATTTGCAAGACTCTTGGGGAACGCATTCATTAAAAAGGGAGCGCTTGGTGAAGGAGGGAGGTGACACATCTTCACTGGGGTGAGCTGCATATTCCTGGGATTTTTCTATTTTAATAAGCTTCAGATTGGGGGAAAAAGGGCCTGTCCGTCTTTTACTTGGGATTTCCTGCTCTGTGTGAACATTGAGTAGCCTATTTGCTCATCTTCACATAAGAAAAAATGCTTTGGTCTTTGTTACAGCAGGAATTCTCGATGAAAATGTCAAAACCAGGAGATGCGCGTTTATCTGGATGCATAGGTGCGTTCGGTTAATAATAGTCACGTTTTTATGGATGCGGCGTGTTTAAAGGTAGGCTAGTGGGCCCGTGTCGATTCTGGGGTTTCAGCCCTCTATTTGCTGAACAGAAGATTAGGAAATCCTCGTTTAACCAAGGGTGCTGTGCAGTGCGGAGGACGTCTGGGGCAGTGGCCCGGTGTTCTGTCCATTTGAATGGACTCAAGTGAGCCAGCTATTCAGGTACGCGCTCGTTGGGAGGAAGGGAGGAACCGAGAAAGGACCTGGCAGGCTAGGTTCGTTCCCCCCCTGGATTTAAAAACAGCGACATGACAGTTTCTCCCGTCCGGTTTGGATTCGGTTTGAGAAGAAGACCATCTTTTATTATTAGGCTACTCAATATAAATGGTCGCTCGTGGATGTAAGAGGAGGGGTGGGACAGTGAGAAACAACATGCTGCAGATTGAAAACTGTTTGTGTGGTTTTGATTTGGATGGACTGAGAAATGAATGAATTAAAAGTCCTAAAGCATGTTCTCTGAGACAGACGGACAGTATTAAAGCATCATTTTGCTGATGTGGTTCACTGTTATGGGAAATTATTTTCAATGAGATTATTATTATTATTATTATTATTATTATTAAAGGTACATGTTCTGATTTTAGATAAATCAGTGATACGTGTCAATTTGATTGGATTGTAAGATTCAGTTTTGAGAGAAATATTTATTTGCTTTTTCTGAGAGCAGAAATATTTGTTTGTGTTGCTTCCTTTCAAGTACAGGTGTTTGTTTGTTTTAAGGGAGCAAATGACAAGTGCTAAAGGACACACATCCAGAACTGCTCAGCTGACTTGTTGGCCACATCTTGAGTTTCCGGTCCTCATATCTGAACATACTCTGCATGAAATAGTTAAACCTTCAGTTGTATCTTTTTGTGCAATGTTAAAATCACTTCTGAAAATCCCATATTCAGATCAACTTGCAAATGCATGTTAAATGACAGTTTATTGTGATTTAAGCATTTTTGCAAATTTTAGTTATATTGATACATTTGCAGTGTATTGTGCAGTTCTGCTATATAGCTGCTAATGAAGTCATGTGAGAACATGCAGTAATTTTTCATTATTTCATTTTCCATCACTGAATAATCATTCATAAACTGAAATGTGTTTTTAAGCCGGACCCATTTTGATTAACTACCCATTAACCCCGTTGTTTTCACAACTCTCGATGGGACAGGATTCCCTCATGATTTCATAACTCTCTGCCTGGTTTCTTGAGATGCAGATGCCAACACACGTTGCCGTTTCACTGACTGGACAGAGCCAGTGAGGTATGTTTTCTAGACAAACAGGCAAGACTGGAATAAAAAAATAAGGCTCATTTTTAAAACAAATGTAAATAAAGGTCGAGCTGCTTCTTAGGCCCAGGAGTAATCATGACACTGTGCTGCAAATTCAACAGAACAACCAGCTTCTGTACTAAACAGTCTGTCTCCCTCAACCGCACGCACGCACACACACACACACACACACACACACACACACACACACACACACACACACACACACACACACACACACACACACACACACACACACACACAAAGGGAATGTTGTGCTTTTGTCGTAGCTGGATGATGGCGTCATATGGCTTGCATTAATTTCCCAGAGACAAATAATGAAAACCATTGATTGAAGTAAAATGGATGTCGAAGAACAAACGTACTGGGCACTGGCTTGTGCAAGCTCTGCGAACAAAGGAGACGGAAGTGAAATCATGTTTGAAAAAAGAACAGAACAAAAATGAAAATGAAAAACGAATCCGGTTTCCTTAACTATAAAAGTGCTGACGGTGGTTCCAGCAAACGAACAACAACATTCCAACTCTGCGGACCAAAAGTTCACATTTGAGCACTTTAACATCCTTCCAAACTATATTTATAATCCAGTTGATCAGAACTGCATTTTTCACAGAGTGAATGCAAAAAGCTCAAAAGAGACTGAACACATCCAATATAGGGAGATCCTGTCCGGGTAATAATGATATAAGCATAGGTACAACTATGAACCCACATATCGGACTTGGACCCTTGCACACCTCTCACATACCTGTCATCAGCAGAGAGCGATACATAAACATAAAACTAACCGGTCTAATCTTAATAATCTTAAACAGTTGTCAAGAATCTCACCCCCAGTAAACCACACAGTCACTCCATCTTTAGTTACTATCAATGTGGCTCTTTTAAATGTTCGCTCTCTGCTGAACAAAACTTTTATTATAAATGACCTAATTTTGGATAATCACCTTAAATGTTGCAGAGGGTCAGGAAAACTGCCCAGCGCATCGCCAGAGCACCACTTCCTGCCATAAAGGACATCTACAGGAAGCGGTGTCTGAAAAGGGCAGGGAAAATCATCAGAGACCACAGTCACCCATCGCATGCACTGATCACCCTGCTGCCCTCTAGGAGGCGCTACAGGAGCCTCCGGACTAAGACCACCAGGTACCGGAACAGTTTCTTCCCAACAGCTGTCAGACTCCTGAACTCTGCCTCTTGACATATGACCCACGTTAAACTCATGGACTGCTTGTATTAACTACAGCCTGTACATACTTATAGTCATAGAATATTCATAACATACTTCATACCGTATACATTATAACATACGTAATAGATCAATTTCTGTATTATACTTACACATCTATATTATTGCTAATATATATTGTAATACATCTATATCACGGCTAAAGCACTTCTGGATGGATGCAAACTGCATTTCATTGCCCTGTACCTGTACATGTGCAATGACAATAAAGTTGAATTCTATTCTATTCAAAATGTGTATTTTTGACAGAAACATGGTTGAGTTCTGATGCTCCTGCAGTTCTCACAGAGGCCTCCCCACCAAACTTTAATTTTACTTATTCAATAAGAAATGGAAAAAGGGAGGCGGAACTGCTTTTATAAGCTCTTCTACACTTTCCGCAAAACATGTTTTATTTGACAACTTCACCACTTTTGAATATAGTGCAGCCATTTTTAGCGATCTTCAGATTTTATGTGTTACTGTTTATAGGCCTCCGAGGCACAGTCCACTTTTCATACACCAATTTTCTGAGTTTTTATCAATTCTGCCCAACTCTTTTGATAGTATTATTTTAGCTGGTGATTTTAATTTACACATAGATGACCCTGCAGACCCTTTTACCACTGATTTTTAAACATTTTGAGTTATATGGATTTTGCACAACATGTTGCACAACCAACCCACGACAGAGGACACACCCTAGACTTGGTCATCACGTATGGTCTGTCTACCGGTGTGTCCTCTGTCGTGGATTTAGAGATCTCAGATCATTTCTGTGTGTTTTTTAACATCACCAGCATAATTCAGCAGGAGACCTCTGTGAGAACTGTAATGAAATGCCATCTAACCCCTGAAGTGGCTGCTGGTTTTCTGGAAACTTTTAAAAAGATCCCTCCTATTAATTTAAATGCCCCCTGTGATTTTATCTTCAATGATTTTAACAGTAGACTTAAATCTACTCTGGATTTGCTCGCTCCACCTAAAATTTAAAAGCTACAGCCAAAACCGGCTTCCCCTTGGAGCAATGAAAACTTAAAAATGTTGAAAAGATCTTGCAGGGCGGCGGAGAGAAAATGGAGGAAATACAATTAATGAACAAATATACACTGAATTATTAAAATCAGACAACAAAGCAGTTAGAAATTCCAGAAGTTATTACTTTTCTAAAATCATCTCTGAACACAAAAATAATCCCAAAATTCTGTTATCCACAATTACAAATATTTTGGGTCGTGAATTTAGTTCTCTCCAGAAAACCCCCTCGGATGCTCTCTGTGAGGAGTTTGCAGCCCATTCAGAGGGAAGGTAGACACCATCAGATGTAACATTTTATCCTCCCAATGTCATGCTGCTCCCGATCAATCTGAGAGTGTGTCTACCTGAGGAAACACTGGACAGTTTTGTCTTGGTTGAAGCTGAGATTAATGATAAAGTTTTCTCCTCAGTGAGACCCACCACATGTGTTCTGGACCCTATCTCCAAAAGGTTTTTTAAACAATTTTATGACTCATTTAGAGATGAGATTTTAATTTTGATGAACTGTTCCCTTCAGATGGGGGTCTTTCCTGCTGCTTTTAAACGGGCGGTGGTCAGACCCCTGTTGAAGAAGAGCAATTTAGATTTTAATGACTTTAACAATTTTCGACCGTTATCCAACTTACCATTTTTAAGCAGAATTTTAGAGAAGCTTGTTTTAATACAACTTAATGATTTTATCAACCACCAACATGTCCTAGAGAAATTTCAGTCTGGTTTTAGGGTGAACCACAGCACCGAGATGGCCCTTTTGAAGATTTTAAATGATTTTAGAACAAATTATGATGCTCGGAGGGCAACAGTGTTGGTTCTGCTGGATCTAAGCGTTGCCTTTGATACAGTAGACCACACTATTCTTTTAACCCGTTTAAAACAGATCGGCCTCTCTGGTGCTGTTCACAGTTGGTTCACTTCCTACCTCACAGACAGGACTTTTATGGTGAGTTTGGATACCTGTTCCTCTGGGGCCCACAGAATCACATGTGGTGTGCCTCAGGGTTCAATTCTAGGCCCAGTGCTTTTTGACCTCTATATGCTCCCTCTGGGCGGCGTCATCAGGAGACATGGGGTGAATTTCCACAGTTATGCTGACGATACACAGTTGTACATCTCCGTGTCTCCTGATGACGCACAGCCAATGGATACACTTTTTAACTGCATTTTAGATATTAAATCATGGATGACTGAAAACTTTCTCCAGCTTAACCAAGGCAAAACTGAAGTTTTAGTCATCGGTCCTGAGACCCAGAGAGAGAAACTTTTACCTAAACTACAATCAATGTCTTTTTATCCATCACTACAAGTGAAGAATCTGGGTGTTATTTTCGATTCTGAGCTGACTTTTATCCCCACATTAAAAACATCACAAAAATAGGTTTTTACCATCTTAAGAATATCGCCAGAGTCCGCCCCATTCTCTCTCGGGCCAATACGGAGACGCTAATGCATGCTTTTATAACCAGTAGAATTGATTACTGCAATGCCCTGCTTTCTGGTCTTTCCAAAAAGAGCATCTCAGGTTTACAACTTTTACAAAACTCAGCAGCACGTGTCCTGATGAAGACCAGGAAATGGGAGCACATCACTCCGGTTTTAAAATCACTGCACTGGCTCCCCGTATGTGTCAGGATCGATTTTAAGGTTCTTTTAATGGTTTTTAAGTGTCTTAATGGTCTTGGGCCTTATCTAAAACTGCTTTTACTATAGAAACCCTCGCAGTCTCTGCGCTCCTCTGGCAGCCATCTCCTAATTATTCCTAAAGTTAAGACACACACCCACGACGAGGCGTCCTTCAAGTACTACAGCCCTCGCCTTTGGAACGGGCTGCCGGAGGACCTCAGGGCCGAAGGGAACGTCCAGGCTTTTAAGAATAGGCTCAAGACCCACCTTTTTAGCTTAGCTTTTAACTGATTACTATTTATCTAGTCTGTTTGACTGTATCTCCTGCCATATTTGTTTATATATATGTATCATTTACTTAATTTTATTATTTATTTACATCTTAGTGTTTTTACATGATTATGTTTTCTTTTACTATCTTTATAATCACTTTTTATCAGTTACTTTCTTTCCATATTAGCTTTTGTTATTTTACAGTCATATATTTTAATTCTCCAGTGTTTCCTCTGCGGAGCCCTCTGCCTTGGGGCCGGTGGTCGGCGGCGGCGGCCGGGGCGCTCCTCGGGTAGTGCCCGGGCAGTGGTGGGGGTTTCTGCCCTCCCTCGCTGGGCGTCATGGGCCGGTGTCTTGGCTGCTGCCGTGGATCTGTTGCTGTCAGGGCAGATGGCTCTGCTGATGATGTGTCGTCCAGTAACCGACCCATCTGAACTCAGCCTATTGTTTACTCTGTTGTTCACGTATGTGTGTGTGTGTGCGTGTGCGAGTGTCTGGGTGATTGTATGTCCACCTTGGAAATTGGTTGCTGGAGGGGAAGTGTAATTGTCAATTGTTTTATACTTGAGGAGGGGGGCTGGGATGGGAATATGGGATCAATGGGGCCATTTTAATCTGTGAAGCACTTTGAGTTGCATTTTTGTTGTATGAAAAGTGCTATATAAATAAAGTTGAATTTGATTTTGATTTGAAGGAAATGTAAAATAACCGTATCATAGAAATGTAATGTGAGTTTATGGCTTTAAAACAACTTGTAAAAACAAATAACAGTTTAAAAACACTAATGATGTCATTTATATGATTGCAACAATATTATTTTTGCAGGTTTGGATATTTATGACACCGAACAGGGAAAAGTTAGCTGTTCAGTGTCACATTGTTAGAACATCATAAAACATCTGAAATCATAAAAACAACGAAAGTTTTGTATCATACCATGAGAGCAACTCCACAGATATACCATATATGTACATCATAAAACATGCATGTCTCTGTGTGTGGCAGGTTTTAGGATGCGATCCCTGAGGAAGACGGTGCTGCTCGCCATCCTGGTTTCTGTGGTGCTCGTGTTCGCTCTCCTTCATTCCTGGCCCACTCGGGCTTACAGCACAGTAGACGTCTGGCAGCGACTGGGACCACCAGGAGAAAGACTCCTGGAAGAAAAGCTCCCAGAACCAGACCACCAGTTGAGCAGCATCCCTTTTCACGTCAGGGATGGCGTAGCAAGGTGAGGATTTCCTATAACATTTTTCAACAAGGTCACGTGTGTGTTACCTGTTAGGTAATTTTATTTCCCATCCAGGGTTACCTTAGGGGAAGTTCAACACGCAGGGGTTATATTAATAAGCCGATCAATTAACCCATACCAATCTTTACCAACAATAAACAATTTAGACTTTGCAAAGTGGAGAGAGATAAAACGATACGCACGAGTCGGTGGTCTATCCGCTCTCATCAGACAGAACCCTCAGAAAGCATTTATTAAGGACACACAAAATGGTAAAACGCACACACATTTACACACTAAAACATTGACGCACACACTTTGACATTCCTTTAGACTCTCAGCGAGCAGGGAGACAACAGGCGCGGGCACAGGGCGTTCTTACTGATAAGCCAGGACTGAAAAGAGGCATGGTCAAACGCCTGTCTGTTGCCAGAGTAAAATAAACCGGATGAAGCTTTCGTTTAGAAAATAATAAAATAATGTATCCATAATTCATCCAACATTGCCATCTTATTGTCTTTTCAGCTTGTTGGCCCGTAATGGCTGCGTGTGCGAGGGCGAGAGTGGAGGAGTGAATTTGCCTTTTGCCCAACTCTTATTCCCTCGGGTGTCGGCTCACCCTCTGCACACTGCCTTTGATGCCTCTGAGCTGGAGGAAATGAAGAAGAGACGGGCCAAAGAGTACAAAAGCTTTCAAAGCAGGTCAGAACAGATTTTTTTAAAATAAGGAAATAACTCTTATTACAACTTTGGCTTAAATCAGGCTTCATATTCCTCCAAAGGACTGCTGGACTAGTTTTTTCTTTTTCGTGGCCTCTATTCAGTCTCTTTTTCTCAGATTTCTAAGTCGACATCAGTGTCAGTATTTGTAGCAGCGTTTTAATTATTTGAGAAGATGTTTTTATTCTTGAATTCTGAGCTAATTTGCCTACAGATTCTCTCCTGAAGTTGATTTGTGAAGATTTTTGATTCAATCCATTCTCGTCAGATCGAAGACTCCTGCTGATGCACTCATCATCGCTGAGGCCAACAGTCCCCTGCAGTATCCAACCCAGGGGCTGGAAGTACGGCCCATGAAAACAATCCTCATCCCAGGTATGACTCCAGATGGGCTCCGATATTATTGACCGACCCTTTTTGAAATTTACGGCTGAAACACTATCTGCTGCAGCAGCAAAAGTTGGTTGAATTTCAAGACTTTTTCAGTGGAGTGTTATGGAAATAAAATAAGGTGATTATACAAGATGTGGAATTTGATACAAAATATTATTTATTTAATATTGCCAGATTTGAAATTGAGTTTTTGAGGTTGAACCAATGAGAGAATAAACCATAGGGAGGCTGAGTTGGTCTGAACATCATCGGATGAGAGATACTGGTTGTGCTGGGAAAAGGGATGCTGAAGATGGAGCTGCATGGCAAAAAGGATGCAACTAAAGAGTAGCTGTATGTATGCAGGAAGAGTGAATCCAGGAAGCTTTTTGATGACCTCAGCTTCATAATTATGACTAGACTGGTTATCTAAATGCCAAAGTGGATTTTAGTGGTTTTCAAAGAAAGTCACAAATATTTGATGTAAACAGTATTATATAAACATTTACACCACTGTAAACATTATTTTGCATGATTATTTATTCAGAATGTGCAACAGAAAATAATAATTTGCACTATTTTTGCTTAGAATTTTATTAATATTTTGCTGGAATAACAATATGGGGCGAAACCTACACTAGGCTTATGGCTTGTAAAGTTTTATTTAGCTAAACTGCAATAAAATATTTCAGATTAAAGACCAAGTTCACTGACAAAACAGTTTTTACTTGTTTTTTAACCCTCCCACTGTCTTTATGAGTGACCCCGCGAGGAAAGTTGACCATTGAGCAGGATTGATGGTTTATCCCTTGAGGTCCACGTGGCAGGGTTGAGGTGGTGCTCACTCCTCACCCATTAGGACAGTGGGAGGATTAAATATGATCGGTCACTTTGAGTTTCTCATGCAGGCTGAATGTGAAAATACTACCCCTATTTCCTGCATTAGCAGCCGATAGAAAGTAGAAACTCTTGGATAGAAAAGCCACTCAGATCTCGTCACATTGTAAATTAGCATTTATGGACTCTCCCATCTTGGCTCGCCATGGGGAAGGCTGTTGTTGGTTTAGCGTCCAGGAAACGGCATCAATCTGGTCAGACATAATCTGTGGTTCTCCAAACAGAGGTTATTGTTAGAAATGTCTAAGCCAACCCAAGAAAATTATTAACTGTCCATCACCTTTTGAACCATTTTACTAGAAATATTTCTTTGATATAGAGCTGTATGTGAAGCTTTTTGTTCAACCATGGGCTGTTCTGAATCAAACATGCTGGAATAAACTGTTAAACTTGTTACTAATCTTTTCAGGCTTGGCCTTACACGATGTTCCCAGGGACCATTACTCAGTGAGTGAGTTCTTCTGTTGAATATTTTAGATCCTTTTAGTCCCGTCACACTTTTCTGTCCATCCTGCTGCAGTTAAACATCACTGCCACCCTGGGAGTGCTGAACGTAGCAGCAGAAGTGGAAGAGGTGAAGATTAATGGTGATGGTGAGATGCATATGACCCTTTCCAGCACCCTGTTGCCGAACCTGAACCGACAGCTGCAGTTTGTCACCTACACCAACACGCTGTTTCACCCGAGTACTGCAGACACAGGTAAGACCACATCAGCCATGGGGAGTCCTGTGGTGGGTACTCTGGGAGAACCAAGCCCTTTTGATGGCTGTTAGGTCTTCGTATGATCTGTGCCAGAACCTAGTCTGCATTGATTTGGGCTTATTTCCAGTGAGAGTTGGACTCTGCCAAGGCTTCCCCTTTGTCACTGATTCTGCTCTTAACTTTTATGAACAGGATTTCTAGGTGCAGCCTGCTTTTGGCCGATGATGTGGTCCTGTTGGCTTCATTCATGATCTCCAACATTTGCTGGAGCACTTTGAAGCTGAGTGTGAAGCAGCTGGGATGATAATCATCTCCTCTACATCCGAGACCATGACTTGCAAAAGAGTAGAATGCCTTCTCCAGGTCAGGGATGAGGTCCTGCCTTGGAACACCTTCAGGAGGAGATGGCCCAAATGGCTGGGAAGAGAGAGGTCTGGGCCTCTCTGCTTAGGCCGCTGCCTGTCATCATAGCATAACCAGAACAGCACTGGCTGTGCTCCTGAAAATGGATCAAATGCCACTTGAATAATTAATCTTTGGAAACCCTTGGAAAGCTCTTAAAACTTGGCACCACATTAATACTGGAAGTCAGAGTGTGTTAGACATCCATATTTCTTCAAGAAAAAACACACCTCAGTAATGGACAGCATCCAAATCTCCAAACTTGCTTTTTAGCTTTGATGTAGAGCTTTCAAAATAATCCTTGATGATGATTGTGAGCACATTCTGTGGTCTGAGGGCAAGCATTGGCAAGAAGAAGATCAACATCTTTTTAAATCCAAGTTCTGACAAGATGATGTAACAGTGAGGGTGTGATAATGTATTGCTTTGTATTGTTGTGTCAAAGTTATATACCAGAAAAATGTCCCAGTGCCCAGATGTTGGGCAGCAGACCAGGGAGAGTTGTTTGATGGCCCAATCTCCAGCTGAGCAGGAGCATGTTTTGGGAATCCACAGAACATACAGTATGCTGTGCGAGATGGGTGTGCAAGGACACGTCGTTGTTAGCTCACTAATAATTTTGTGAGGTTGAAAGAGATCCACTGCTTATGTAAATAACTCTCTGGAACAAAGAAAGCTATAATTATCCTATAATTTATTCATATATTTGCAGATTGCTTTCCTGTTTGGATAAAGCCAAGCAGCCAGTCACAGTGCAGTCTAACAATAAAACCTCTTTGTACTGATTCAAAACAAGAATCCAGCTCTGTCGAGTACTGTGTACTCAATACAGCAGGAGTTCTGTTCTGCAGCAGGTCACTGTTTGATAATGACAGAGCATGTTTATTGTTGTCTTTAAGTGCAGTTTGAATCGGAAGGGCATCAAGCTGTCTTCAGCATCAAGATCCGCCACGGAGTGACTCCTAAACTTTACAACACAGGATCTAAAGAAGGTACAGGGCCATCATGTCGTTCCTAATCAGGGTAAAAATCAGAACCCAAACAACTGTTGGTAAAAGATCTGTGTGTCCTCTACAGAGTACAACGTCAGCGCTCTGGTTACCATAGCTACAAAGACTTTCCTGCGTTATGAGAAGCTTCAGAATCTCATTGACAGCATCAGAAGATACTATCCTACCATCACAATAGTCATCGCCGACGACAGCGAGAATCCCAAAGCCATCTCTGGGCCTTACATTGAGCACTACATCATGCCCTTTGGAAAGGTAGGGAGGTAAACGTTCCTCTGCCATGGCTAATGGGCGCTCTGGTTCTCTGAACCTCCACGTTTGTGTCCTAGGGTTGGTTTGCTGGAAGAAACTTGGCTGTTTCCCAGGTGACAACGAAATATGTGCTCTGGGTGGACGATGACTTCATCTTCACAGCCAATACCAGGCTGGAGAAGCTTGTGGATGTTTTAGAAAAGACCACTCTGGATCTGGTAAATAAAATGGCTCACTGGAATAGTTCCTAATTGCAGTGAATTGAATGTGTGTTTTCTGGGGTTTTTAGGTTGGGGGTGCAGTACGGGAAGCTACGGGGTACACCGCGACCTACCGACAGACCATCTCCATTGAGCTAGGAGAGGAGGACGGTGACTGTTTGCACATGAGGAGAGGGTTTCATCACGTCATTGAGGGATTCCCAAACTGTGTCGTGACAGACGGAGTCATTAATTTCTTCTTAGCTCGCACTGATAAAGTCCAGCAGGTGGGCTTTGACCCTCGTCTGGCCAGGGTGGCCCACCTGGGTGAGTAGAGGTCACACACATCTGTTAGCACATCTGCAGTGAGAGAGATGTAGGAATGCGGCTTCATTTAAAGCTGTTATGGCGAATCTGCAAACAAGCTAGGTTTTTGAACGCAAACACGGTCACAGAACACTGACCCCTCCCCTCGGGTTTCTTCCCTGAGATGCTTCTGCCGGTACCGGAAATCCGCGATGCCGGAGGAAATGAGATAGCGCTAAACATCAGTCGCTCTTTCCTCGGTCCAAACGTTTCTTGCTGTCCGTGACTTCGAATGAGGTTTTTAAAAGTTGTTTCCCCTTCTCTGGTTTTCTTCTTACTCCCCTCAAGTTTTTTCAAGGCTCAACATCATTCTTTGGTTTCAACAGACATTTAACTTAAAAGGAATAAAGATGACTTTTACAGCTTCTTTCACAACAATTAAAAAACTTATTTTATCTTCAGGAACAAACCTGCTCTTCACCATCTCTTGCAGAGACTTACATCAGTCCACGTGACTAATTCTGTTAATATATTAAATTCACCCCACGTGCAACAGTGGATCAATAGATAAGTTCCCCTTAGATGTTAATGTTCTTTTAACCAAAATAAATTAACTTTATTTAAATGAAGTAAAAAATTATTATTGAATGATTTTAATGAATTACTAATATGTCTTTATTTCCATTTTAACTGGATCTAATCTAATAAATAAATTGAATGTAATGAATGGAGCACCCATGGAAGTGCAACGACACCGATAACCGGATGGTCCAGCAGGTGCTTTAGTCTGACAGGTGTGATTGGTGGAGGTTTTTAGACAAACGTGAAGAAAAAAAACACTTTACACATTTTTTTTTCATTTTCTGAAATCTCCACGACATAGAGCTATGTTAGAGCGCTGTTTAAAGGCATGAAAAAATATTTTAAGTTAATTTTGTCATGTCCTGTGTCCTCTCTGTCCAGTTCATGTTTTCTCTCTTCTAGGTGTCCTTGTCCTCCCTGTCCCTTCACACCCCATCTCCCTAGTTACAATAACCATTTCCAATCCCCTGCCTCTTACTGGTATTATATTTCTCTCTAGGGTCCCCTTCTCATTTTTGTTATTGTCAGGTTCCTGTTTGTTTTAGCCTTCTGTGTGTCTCACCTTTGACCCTCGCTGTGCCTCTAGCGGTTACCCCCCCCCATGTTATCATCTGTTCTCATGTTTAGTTCATTTACATAACCTTGAGTTTTCCATTCCTCCAGTAGTTTTCTGTTTAAGGATTAGTCTCAGTCAATGCCCTTGTTGTCTAGGTTTTCATTTATTCCTGGCTCTTTGTATTTTTTTTCTATTCTGTTTAGAGCATTGTCATTATTTTCATAGTCTTCAGTTATTCTTAGAATAGTTTATTTCTTTCAGCCTTTGGTTCTAGCATCTTTTAGTTACTGTCTTCTTGTTATCTGGTTCAGTCATGTGTTTTTGTGTTACCTCCTATCCCCAAGCCATCTATCACACCTGTAGGCCCTTTGCAATCAGCAACTATCACACCTGCTCCACTCAGCACCTCAGTGCATTCAAGCCTGCTCTGTGTCACGGGTTTTTCTACCTCCTTATGCCTTTTTGTTGGTTCCTTGTGTTTGTGCTGTATATGCACCATGCTCCTCATACTCCTCATGCTGCTCGTTATAGAAATTTAATTTTTATAATTTCTTGATCATTAATATGTGTTACTCTATGCCTGAATACATGTGCTCTTCATGCTCCTCGTGATGGAGAAACTGAAGCTTTTCAAACCACTGAACCAATATGAAACAACAGGTTCGGTTTCGTTCCCTCCTGACTGCCAGTGGCAGTAAACAGAGTGGATGGATCTCCTCGCGCTCTGCGCAGGTCGAGTACTAATGCAAACAAAGTCACGCACGTGACACGTAGCGCACCTGGTCGCGAGTCTATAAATTACGCGCCGATAGCTACGTTCGGGTCTCCCGGGATCTTCTCGCCCGAGAAGTTCCGAGTGACCCCTGTGACTGGCAGTCATCCAGGAACTCACAGAACCATAGTTACACCGTAACTTCCGTTCAGTGTTGTGAACCAATTTAACCCAATAAACTGAGTGACATCTGCTGGCCAGTCCCGCCCATCATGGTGCTTTGCTTCAGCGCCCCACCACGACTTGTGATTTGCATCTTAAAAATGTTTAACAGATGCTCATGTGAGGACTTTATTATACATAAACATATGACAAATGTATAGGATGTAGATAAATGCACAGAGGATTAGTTTAGCATAAATACACCAAACTCACTGTGAACAAGATAATAAAAATGTATTTTTGTTAATATTTTCTGGCATTTGTAGCCAATATTTTCTAAATCTGTTTATTTGTATTTCCTCAAAATTTCAAGAAGGAAAAACGTGAATTTTACTGTGAGAGTTGTGATTTACAAAATGAAGATTCACCTAATGGTTACTGTTAGGTAATTTCATTCTCCCATCCAGGGTTACCTGAGGGAAGTTCAACATGCAGCGTTTATATTAATAAGCCGATCGATTGACCCATACCAATCTTATTAACAATAAAAAATTTAGACTTTGCAAAGTGGAGAGATAAAATGATACACACGAGTCGGTAGTCTCTTCGCTCTCATCAGACAGAACCCTCAGAAAGCATTTATTAAGGACACACAAAATGGTAAAACGCACACACATTTACACACTAAAAAACTGACACACACACACTTTGACGTTCCTTTAGACTCTCAGCGAGCAGGGAGACAACAGGCGCGGGCGTTCTTACTGATAAGCCAGGACTGGAAAGAGGCAAGGTCAAACGCCGGTCTGTTGCCAGGGTAAAATAAACCGGATGAAGCTTTCGTTTAAAAAATAATAAAATAATGTATCCATAATTTATCCAACAGTTAGCACAGTCAAGACACAAACGGTTTTGGTTTTTATTCTCAATATTAAACCTCAAGACATTCTCTGGGTCAGGGAGGAGTTTAAGTATCTCGGGGTCTTGCTCACGAGTGAGGGAAAATTGGAGCGTGAGATCGATAGGCGGACTGGTGCTGCATCTGCAGTGATGCGGGCGTTGCACCGATCTGTCGTGGTGAAGAGAGAGCGGAGTCAGAAGGCGAAGCTCTCGATTTACCGGTCGATCTATGTTCCTACCCTCACCTATGGTCATGAGCCTTGGGTAGTGACTGAAAGAATGAGATCACGGATACAAGCGGCCGAAATGATTTTTTTCCACAGAGTGGCTGGGCTCTCCCTTAGAGATAGGGTGAGAAGCTCGGCCATCCGGGAGGGGCTTGGAGTAGATTTGCTGCTCCTCCACATCGAGAGGAGCCAGTTGAGGTGGCTCGGGCATCTGGTCACCATGCCTTCTGGGCGTCTCCTGGTGAGGTTTTCCGGTCATATCCAACCGGGAGGAGACCTAAAGGTAGACCCAGGACACGCTGGAGAGACTATGTCTCTCACCTGGCCAGGGAACGCCTTGGGATTTCCCCGGAGGAGCTGGCCCAAGTGGCTGGGGAGAGAGGGAAGTCTGGGCCTCTTGACTTAGGCTACTGCCCCGCGACCCGACTCCGGATAAGCGGATGAAAATGGATGGATTAAACCTTAAGTATTTGGATCTCAGGTATTAGTAGTGTGATGGGTATTTTTGGTTTCAGGGAGAATCCACTTATGCACTCTTATGCTAAATGTGCCAAACTGTTGCCATAGCAACACTGAAGCACATTCTGCTGCAGAGGGTAATTTCAAACATGTCTTGCTGACATTAAAGGAGCTGAAAGTTGAACTGCCTTAATATCACATAAATAGCTAAAATCTGCATTAATATTCTTAACACACTACCTAAATGATAACACCATCAACTTTAGGACATTTTTTTAATTTGCTTCTTTTTTTAAAGTATTCTATATTATTAATGGATTCAATCATTAAAAGCTTTTTTTTAAATGATTTGTGCTTTTCAGAGTTTTTCATTGATGGACTTGGATCTCTTCATGTGGGCTCTTGCGATGACGTCATCATTAATCACGCAACCAAAATCAAGCTCCCCTGGACCAGCCAGTCGGAGAGCGACAAGACGTACGCCAAGTTTCGTTACCCACCTGCCTCCTCTGATGCCACACGCACAAAAAATGGCCTCTTGTTCTTCAAGAACCGATTCCAGTGTTTGACTCATAATTAGGTTCCTTCTTTTCTATTGACCCCCGAAAGTTTCTTTGTTCTTCCTGAGTTGCCAAAGAAGCTTTCCTCCACCCTTCACTGTCAGATAAGATTCACGACAATCTGTTTCGTTTGTGGTGTCTGGAAAACCTCGGAAGGCTTTCTGTGGAAAAAAGGAATTTTGTTGTGGAGAGAAACCGGAACAAATCTTATCTAATTGTGAAATCACAGCCTAGTTAGGTTTTGATTAGTCAAATCTTATCTGGCTAAATATGCTTGAGTTGTTCCAAACCCAAATGGCATCAAGACGATGTGTCTCTTCTCTTTCATCCCGTTTTACTGTTGGGATCACCTGTTTTCCTGCTTGGAAAACTAACCGTGGAGTCTGAAGGACACAGAGCGGGAACAAAGAGATGTGTCATAAAAAGAGACAATCTGAGAGCCACTCCAGAGTCACGTAAGGAACACTTACAGTGGTTTTGTCAGCTGTTAAACAGCTGGAATTGGGTTGCTTTTTTGTTTTTGTGTCATGGTTTTTCTACCTCCTTTTACCTAGAATCGTTTTTGGTTCAGTGTGTGAAATCACACCTGAAGAGTTAAAACTTTGGACCCACCGGGAAGAGGACAGACTGTTCTGGAGACAGCTTTTTTTGTTTGTTTGTTTTTGCTGCCGTCTGTCGCTCTTCAAGAAGTACCTTGAATTAAGAAGTTTTGGAGTCATTGCACGCTACTTAGGAAAAGGAAACTGCATCCTTTCATGCTGCCTGAGTGGAAAATGTGGACAAACCAAAGTGCATGTTTATTTTCTGTCAATAAAAAAGACAGACAGGGAGGAAAATGACATGTTTGGTAATAAAACACAGAGAGAAGAAGACTTTTAAAAGAAATGAGATGAGCTGAGCACATCAGTTCTGAGGCCCAGATTACAAAGAATATGCTACAAAAGTTCATTTTACTTTTGTTTGTCATATGCACCTGCTATCTGTTTCTTCTCAGATTCACTGAAATAGTGCAAAGTGTGTGCTGATTCAACCCCTTTCATCACCAGACTTGAGTACTTTCAATTATTTAATGTCTAATGCAGTTTTCTTCTCCATAAGACCTCAAGATTTACTTCTGTTGCAAACACTATACAGGCATAAATATAATTGAGGTTCAATGGTTTTCACTCAGTGAGCTGCAGTTCTTAATGGTTAAAGAACAAAGGCCCTCTTCCTGAGGGAGGAATGGTCACGGTTACATTGTTTCCATACAAGGGCGTGCTCTCCCTTTCCTCTTTTTTAAAGGATACAGTCCAACAAACACTCCTCAAGGTGCACATTTAAGCAGCTCTCAAGAGACAGAAGCTATTTCCCTCTAACTGCATCAATAAGTTGAAGCCTTTCCCCTAATTGTTATTTTAAAAATATGTGCAGGTCTCCCTCCGAATGCATGTACACCTCAATTAAATGTGAGCAGACTTCATCAACACAGACATTTTCTTTGGTTGTCAGTTCAGAGTGATGCAAAACCCTAATTTGCACTTGCAAAACACTTTTTTATGAATTCGGGCCCTGGTGGGGTAATAGATGAAGTGACACTGTTTTATTTTGACAAGATGGACTGTAGGTGGTACCGTTGAGTCCTTGTATGGATTCTTAACATGTCAAACAATGTTTAATATTCGTTATGAGCAAAAAGGTGCAGGAAGTTGTATTTATTTATTTAATCTTTTAATTCTTTGAGATATTTTTCTGTCTTGTAATTTCTTTTTGTTTCATTGTGTTTACAAACAGCTGTACCAACATGAACATCAGACTTTTATTGGTCATGTTTTAAGTTTGACCAGTAATAGTGATTTTGTGATTGTTTTTGACAGACATGTTCATGTTTATTTTCTTGTTCTTTGACAGTGTCATTATCATGTGTTGTGTTGGCACAGAATTATATTACCCCTTCAGCCCTGATTCACTGAAGTCAATACTTTTATCATGACATTAGAAACAATTTTATTTTATTTGTCTGTGAAATAAAAACTCCTTTTTATTTATTTTGATGGGGCGTTTGAGGTGTGGACATAAAGATGCTCTTTACCTCTGCATTTCTTGTTTCTCTTGTTGTCCATCTCCTAAAAGTGTGTGAAAACCAAACACTCTTCATTTGCATTATCAAAACCTTAGCCCACCCGGGGACTACTTGGGATTCCACCAGAAGGTTGGTGAATGTGGCAGGAGCTGGGCTGCTGCCCCCATTACCCAGACCTGGAAAAGAGTAAAATGAGTACAAAAGAACAATAATTTTAATAATAATATTAATAAATATTCACAGCATTCATATTTAAATAAGAAAAATCAAGCAGCCTTGTTGTATGTAAAGGATGTTAAGTGAGCCAATGTGCATGCAAACAGGGTGTGACTCCATCCTTTCTGCACTGTAAATGAACAACAACCCTCTGGGACTGATGATGTCATACTATCTAAATTAAAAACAACGCCATTGGGGCCACAGAGATGCTTGTCTAGAAGGTTGAAGTGCTACAGGGTTTTTTCCCTTATTTATTTATGTATTATTTGTGTACACACACACACACACACACACACACACACACACACACACACACACACACACACACACACACACACACACACACACACACACACACACACACACACATATACACATATAAAATATTAAGTTAATTTAGCTACCGTATTATTAAACCAAATCTATCTAAATATGGTGGTTTAAATATTTGACTCTGAATAAAAGTAGAGCTTTTACTGAGATTCATTTATTTGTACCAACGACTTTCATCCAGTAGAGGGTAGTACACACTAAATGGTGACTTTTGAGTTCTGAAAGTAATAATCTTAGGCATGAATACCTAGATGCTCCACTGGGCACTGGAGGGTGTAACAGCGTTGCCACCATTTTGGGTGGGTTCCACACGCTCCAACCCAACTGGAGTCAAGGCATTTTGGGCAACTATGCCCCTTAAACATAATAAAATGTGTTTTTAGTTGGGCAAACACCTTTGTACAAATAAATGCACTGGGGGTAAATACAGGTGCTGGCCAGTAAATTAGAATATCATCAAAAGGTTGGAAATATTTCAGTAATTCCATTCAAAACGTGAAACTTGTACATTACATTCATGCAATGCACACAGACCAATGTATTTCCAATGTTCATTACATTTAAATTTGATATTCATAAGTGACAACTAATGAAAACTCCAAATTTGGTATCTCAAAAAATTAGAATATTCTGAAAAGGCTGAATATAGAAGACACCTGCTGCCACTCTAATCAGCTGATTTACTCAAAACACCTGCAAAGGCCTTTAAAAGGTCCCTCAGTCTTGTTTTGAAGGCACCACAATCATGGGGAAGACTTCTGACTTAACAGCTGTCCAAAAGACAATCATTGACACCTTGCACAAGGAGGGCAAGACACAAAAGGTGATTGCTAAAGAAGCTGGCTGTTCGCAGAGCTCTGTGTCCAAGCACATTAACAGACAGGCGAAGGGACGGAAAAAATGTGGTAGAAAAAAGTGTACAAGCTCTAGGGATAACCGCACCCTGCAGAGAATTGTGACGACAAACCCATTCAAAAATGTGGGGGAGATCCACAAAGAGTGGACTGCAGCTGGAGTCAGCGCTTCAAGAACCACCACGAGGAGACTCATGAAAGACATGGGATTCAGGTGTCGCATTCCGTGTGTCAAGCCACTCTTGAACAAGAAACAGCGCAAGAAGCGTCTCGCCTGGGCCAAGGACAAAAAGGACTGGACTGATGCTGAGTGGTCCAAAGTTATGTTTTCTGATGAAAGCAAGTTCTGCATTTCCTTTGGAAATCAAGGACCCAGAGTCTGGAGGAAGAGCGGAGAAGCACAGAATCCACGTTGCATGAGGTCCAGTGTAAAGTTTCCACCGTCAGTGATGGTGTGGGGTGCCATGTCATCTGCCGGTGTTGGCCCACTCTGTTTCCTGAGGTCCAGGGTCAATGCAGCCGTCTACCAGGAAGTTTTAGAGCACTTCATGCTTCCTGCTGCTGACCAACTTTATGGGGATGCAGACTTCACCTTTCAACAGGACTTGGCACCTGCACACAGTGCCAAAACCACCAGCACCTGGTTCAAGGACCATGGTATCCCTGTCCTTGATTGGCCAGCAAACTCGCCTGACCTTAACCCCATAGAAAATCTATGGGGTATTGTGAAGCGGAGGATGCAATACGCTAGACCCAACAATGCAGAGGAGCTGAAGACGACTATCAGAGCAACCTGGGCTCTCATAACACCTGAGCAGTGCCACAGACTGATCGAGTCCATGCCACGCCGCATTACTGCAGTTATTGAGGCAAAAGGAGCCCCGACTAAGTATTGAGTGCTATACATGCACATTCTTTTCATGTTCATTCTTTTCAGTTGGCCAACATTAGAGAAACAAACATTTTTTCATTGGCCTTTAGAATATTCTAATTTTCTGAGATACCAGATTTGATGTTTTCATTGGTTGTCACCTATAAATATCAAAATTAAACGTAATAAACATCGGAAATACATTGGTCTGTGTGCATTGCATGAATATAATGTACAAGTTTCACGTTTTGAATGGAATTACTGAAATATTTTCAACCTTTTGATGATATTCTAATTTACTGGCCAGCACCTGTATAGGGCTTGGGATGGTGTCGCCATTACTGACATAGCTGCCGTGTTTACGGCCTCCGAGTCCTTACTTGTTGCTTGTTACTTCTGACAACAGAGCCCTCAGTCTCATTCTTGCAGCTTCATTTAACCTATTAGTCTTTTGATCAATTCTATTACGCAACTATGGTAAATCGTTGCTGTGTTGTGGGGTGCAACACGTGATCGCCAGGGAAAAAGGTGGAAAACGAGCAACTTTTCACCATTATCATCATGGCATAACCACAGAGATCACAGTTTCTAACATAACAAAGTCTTGTCGGCTCGCTTGGACCGCAGCTGTAAGGAGACCAAACATCACCTTCCAGAGTATTTTCATTCTGGTAAGTTACAGATGTATGTTTTTCTATTTTCTTCTACTGCGACATGCACAGACAACACACACGTATTGGTAGGCTAGTGCGGGGTGCACTGACCCACAACACAACTTCTGCTGCCACGCTTCTTCTATGAGGTGAACATTTTTATAGTTTTACTAGAAAAGCCATCAAATGAAACGTTTACCTCTCATCCAGATGTAAACATACACTCACACCACAAACAAGTTGGCTGTAAATTGCAAGAGCAACAAGTTGTCGTCAGTGCTCCACGTTTTGGTCTTTCATACGGATCCAAACCATTTATAAGGCTGATTTTGTCCACATACCGGTCCCTGATGTCTCTATTTAACATATCCCTATATTCCACATCCTTTTTGGGATTCCAACATGCTGTTTAACCCCTTAGCATTCCAGCATCCCGCCCATGGGACAAAACCCCAGTGCGTTCATTAAATCTGGAAATTTAAGGGGTTAACACTTCCTTTCTCCCAAATCTGCTTCTTCTTTGCAACGTACTGTTTGTTTTTACAGTTTGTTTACATTTGTTAGGCCATCAGCATGTCTGCGCACATCTCAGAATGTGACGCATAATCTCACGTGTGATCCCAAGCTCGATAGGAACCCATCCAAGATGGCAGCCCGCTGCTACACAAGCTCCAATAGGCAGCGCCAGTCCACGGGGTCGAGTAACATAATTTTCCTACATTTTTACTCAAGTGGAACAAAGTGGTCATCAAAACATTACTCAAATAAGAGAAAAAAGTATTTGGTAAAAAAGGAAACTCATTTACTGAGTAGCTTTTTGATCTTAACAGCTGACTTAATTTGTTAAAATGATTTAATCAGAGGTTCAAAAGTGAATAATCTAAAAGTCAGAGCAGAGGTGAACTTACCAGGCAAAGGAACGTCTTGGGCCTCAACCACTTTAGAGGTGTCATGATGAACACACAAATATGTTTAAGATATTTTTTCATCCAAAATGTATTAACCCTGCCATTCTAGAAAAATACATCAAGCTACAGCTACAATAGACTGCTCCATGACCTCAGCAAGTGAATGACTGATGAGCAAGTTTGTCATCTGATTTGAAAGTTAATAATGAGAGGAAGTAAAAAAAAACATGCAAAAAGGAAATGAAGCTATTCAAAGGGTTCTGAGGAGTGAAAGAGGCAGGAAGAGAGTAAATATCTTACAGATTTTTCATAATGCTGCTGAGTAACAGTTACTGAAAGCAGCATTAACATTAATGGTTAGCACCAGAAGCTGCTGCCTGTGCTAGCGCTTTTTTCAGTTCAGAACAGAACAACAGTGGCAGGGGGGCCCGTGTCTTTGTTCGCCTTGAGCCCCCAAACTGCTCTGGTTATCCATCCGCTGGTGTAAATGTCCTCTAGATATTCTAAACTGAGGCCAAACACTTATTTACTATTAATGGGTGACGTTTGTTAGTTATACATATAGCTTCCATAACCTATGAGGACACCGCAGTGGGAACATCTTCACAAAAGCCAGAACATTAAAGGTGTGGTTGGCTGAAATACATTTTTTAATGATAATTTCTGATTCTAATCAGTCATTCTAAGTTTTTAATGCGGGCCGAACATGAAAGCAGTCTTCAACACCTATCTCCTGCACTAGCTTCTGATAGAAAATAGATGGTGAGATGCTAGGATTTGAAAATCCTCACGGATCTATGTAAATAATAATAATCTCTAAATTTGCATTTGATGGCCCCGCCCATCTGGGGTCGTGCTTTGTAAAAATGTTTTTGCAGTGAGGAGAGAGAGAAGAGTGTGTCTTTGTGGTAGTGACTTTTCAACATGACTGAACGTATTCTGTTAGCCAATCAGAAGCTAGGTGTGTGCATATCATTAATAATAATGAGCAGTCCAGCTGTTTTCAGCCCACCTCTGCACCAGCTAACTTCTGCATCTCAGAACAGGAGCATCGTAGATTTTTTTTTTAAATGACTCATAAGGCAGTGATTCCCACTTGAGAACACTGCAAATGTATTGAATAAATGAACCACACCTTTAATTTGAAACAATGTGTTAACATCTTTACATCAGCTGTCAGCCAAAAAAGACACAGAGTGACTCTCATGAACTTTTATGATGGAGTAACATACATGTCATGTTTCAGCACACAAATACACAAGGGAACTTGTTCAAAATTCAAATATCTGAACATAATTTCTCTTCCAGTCTACACATAAGGACCCTACATAAGCACACTGTTATGATGTTTGATCTTTGTACCCCTTTTCTTCTTTCTGCTTGATCGTGCCACATGGTTTGTGTGCGTTTCAAATGTGTTTAGTCCAGATCAAACTCACAATGGAAGGGTTTAAATAATCTGGCAAATGGAAAACACAGCTCTCTGCTAATCTGCACGGGATAGACAGATGAGATCTGATCCAGAATGAAACTGCAAGTCACGATCACTGGAGTAATGAGCTCAGAAGGTTTCAGGGGGTTTCAGATGTTCTCAGAGGAGAATAACGTGAAACGGGTCCATGGAGACAATTTTGGCCATTTTATCAAAAACATCCAGTCAATTTTTTTTTTGTCAAAAAGTAGAGAAAAACAAATTCAAACAGCATGAAGCAACAGGACGTTTTTTTCATCTCAGCATCTGGAAATGTTTGTTGATGAGCACATGGAATCTGTGTACACACACACTGTTATTCAAGCACATTCAAATGTTAACGTTACACAAAATCAAACACAGAAAGGCCTGCGACACAGTTAGTTGAAACACCGCAGCTTTGCTCACGTCTGCACAGAGTTGAATGGAGTCACCGAGGGTCAGTGCTGGTTGCTCTCCTCCAGCTGATCCAAGCTGTTGGGTCGGCGGGCTGCGTAAGGTGCGCCATCACAAAATGCGATAGTCTGGAAACTGGCTGTCACAACCTATGAGGAAACACACAATCCAGCAGTTACTTTCTTTGTTTAGTTTCTAGAAACATTTGTATGAAGCAAAATTTAAAGACTAAGTTCACTTGTTTTTTCAACACATTTGCAGTGATTTCTAATATAAATGAATACCTTGAGAGTGGATGTCTTTGTGAAAAGCTCTGGCGCTTCAGTTTCAGGAGCTAAAAGTGAGCTAGAGCAGAGGAGAGCAGAACACGGCAGGATTTGGAGTCTTGTTTCTTGATATTCTGGCATCTCGCCTCTGACTGGCTAACAGCAGTGCGACTACCACTGACTCTTTTTTGCTTCACAAAGTTGATTGGTCTCCACGAATAGCACAAGCCAGAAGGAATTCTGCTGTGTAGTGGAGTTGCTAATGCTATTGTTAGCTTCTACTAGCTGAGACTTTCTCTGCTCTCTCCGGGATGCTACATCAATAGCAACTTTCCTGGTAACGAGGCAAGATGGGAGAGTTCGTGAATGCCACTTTTTCAATGTGATGAAGATCTGTTTGGCTTTTCTAATCCGAGCGTCTCCCTGTCTATTTTCTATCGACAGTTAATGCAGGAAATAAGGTTGTAAGACTATTTTCACATTAAGCCTGAGTGAATATTCAAATTAAAATTAAAATAAAAAAGTAAAAAATAGTTTCTCAGTGAACTTGTTCTTTAAGCTGCATAAAAGTATTTATTTATTTATTTAATTAGATACACTAGAATAATTTTAACAGAAAAAAGGCACTTTGATCTTAACCTTGGTATGACAAGTTGACAGTCTGGTCAAAGGTATTCACCGTTTCTCCCAACTGAGCTTGTTTAAAGCGCTACCTACAGCAGGCCAGATAGTAAGTGTTGAGAAATTTTACACCAAAACTCACTTCAAAAGTTGTGAACTTTCTCTTTATAACAACTCTAACATGACGTGCTTAGAAAGATGTGGAGTCTAACTTGATCTGGGGAACCTCTGAATCAAACAGACCACATGAGGGCAGCAAAACAGGTTTTTTTCTGCTGATCAACAGAGTAGGAGCTAAGAGGACAAGAACAATTCTGTGGATTTAGGCCAGATCTGCAGCACTTATACTGTTTCCTTGGTGGAAGTGTTAGTACACAAGATAAAACACCAGGTTGGAGAGTTTCCCACAAACTGGATGGCTGAATAACACAAGCAACACATTAGGCTGAGCATGGTAAATCAACAGAGAAACAACAACAGGATATCTGACAAAGGCAGCTGGAGAGTTATTTCCTCTCAACATTAGTGACCGTGACAACAAACAGGCTGTACAGTTCTGCCTACGTGATCAACATCATTTTAAAACGTTATTTAAAAATTAACCATTCAGAAAAAGATGAGCTTTCACGAGAATTATTCGTGATTACTAAAGAAATTCAAGAGGTGTTTTCCTGGTGTTTAACAGGGTGACCTGGTCTACTGGTCTACCTTTTGGTGGTGGTGGGTGCAGGGTGACGCGGTGCTGAATGTGTCACAGCTTCGTTTCACCTCTGAGTACAAACTGAGCTGCTGTTGTGAGGAAAATGGAGGGTGAGTTGCTCGAAGTGACTCATCACTTGTATTGAAGTCCTTGAAAACAGAAAGAGAAAAGAGATGTGAGCTAGAGAGATACATGCCTGTGTAGAAATAGGATTATGGGTGTGTGCTGCATGACCTTTGAGGACTGGGTGAGCTGAGGCGAGTGCAGAGATGGCAGAGAATTGTTATGGGACAGCAGGCAGGGTTGGTGATGTCTCTGCATGGAGGGGTGCGATGACAGGCCAGGTGACGACACAGCTGGAGACTTTGTGCTCCTTCCTAAGCTGTTTGATGTGATTTCTCTTCGCTGGTACTCTATTGGGGACTGGAGGGCTGCAGCGGACAGGACGTCGTGTCACACCTTTTTAATAAATTACACATTTATTGTTGTAAAGTTCAGCTCTGGTACCATTTAGGAAGTTTCTCTGGGTCTCTAAGATCTGGACCACATCGTCGAACCAAGCTTGTTGTACTTCTGGAGAGACTGCATGCATAACAAAGCGTGTTACACTGCTGTCGGTTCCCCTGGAGGTCAGGACCAGACAACAAGGGTCTTCTTCAGAGGGGGTCTCCACACCCAAACAGCTAACCTGCAGGACACAAAGTGCTTATGTTGAACGCATCAGTACTTCAAAGTGTTCAACAGTTGTTTAATCTATACATCTGCAGTGGGCTATGGTAGGAATGAATGCCTTGCAAGTTGCACTGGGGGTGGGGCATAAGTGCCTGTATCAGCGCAGACAAGTCTGCTGCAGCAGAAGGTGGCAGCAGGATTTGGAGTCTTCTTTCTTGATACTTGGACATCTTGCCTTTGATTGGACGACAGCAACATGACTCTGCCACCATCTCTGTTTGCTCTGCGACATGGATGTTTTATCTCCTTAAACAACAGAGACCTGGATGTGTTCTGCTGTGTGGTGGAGTTGCTAATGCTAATGGTTAGCTTCTACTAGTCGAAATGCTCTCTGCTGTTTCCTGGACGTTAAACCAACAACAGCCGTCCTCATTCCCCTTCTTCACACTGGAAGCATCTACAGAGCGGAACGGCAGCAGAACGGTTTACTCGTGACTTTTGATGCGGTCCAGTACATACAGGAGAACCTTGGTTGCAGAACGGCTTCCTCGCTGTGCTCCTTGCTTAACTCGCAAGATCACAAAATCTCTCGAGTTTATGCCATCTGCCATTAAACAAAATAGATCCACTTTCAGGATTAAAGGCATGAAAAACACACCCCTGCACTTCTGGTGTAAATAAGTCGTCACTTGTACTGACGCAATCTACATAGATATGAATTTGCATCTCTGCAATAGTCTTTTATTTTGAAAATTACCAGGGGTTTTCCACTGAAATTAGAGGCCGACCGATTTATTAAAATTTTCTGTCGGCCATCGGCCGAAATTATTTTTAAAAGCCGATAAAACAAATAAATAAATAAATAAATAAATAAATAAAACAACAAATGTTAAATTATATATATATATATATATATATATATATATATATATATATATATATATATATATATATATATATCAGGCACCTGTGTGGCCAACTGCCACCAACTATAATGAAGAAAGGACCCGAAGGACCCCAACACACCATTCTTTTAAATATTTTGAGTTAGTTTTATATTTGAAGTTCAATAAGTATTGAGAGATTTACTGACTTATTTAATTTATATTGCACACAGTGAGTGTTACGTTGTCCTTCACAATTAATGTGCTGCTAAAACGTGTATAAATCGGCCATAATAATCGGCTTTAGATATCGGCCATCGGCGACAAAAATTCTTTAAAAATTGGTAACGGCCTTAAAAAAACATATCGGTCGGCCTCTAACTGAAACCGTATGTGATTTCCTGTCTAGCCCCATGTTAACTGCGGAAATTGATGCCTCCCAGAAGCAGCTCACGGCAAAAATAGAACCCGATCCTACATTTAGTGGCGCGGAGTGCCACTTCTGGGATGCGCCCGAAAATTTCCATGTTGCGACTGGACTGAATCACCTTCATAGACTTTGTGGGATTCCAATTCGAAGCAGTGACGTTCTGCTGCCGTTCTACCTCGCCGATGCTTCCAGTGTGAAGTAGGGGTCAGTTCAAGCAACCACTCAACGTAGATCTGCCAAGCATTTCAAACCCTACCCTCTATCTTCCAGAAGCTAATGCAGCAGATAGGTGTAGGAGGCTATTTTCGTGTTCAGCCTGCATGAAACATTCAGAGTTACTGATCATTAAAAAAAATAATCAGTAAAAAAAATTGTTTTGGAAAATCATGAAAATATATTTATTAACACCAAGTTTCTCTTACCTTGATGCTGTTTTTAAAAGTGTACCCTGGCAAAGGGATCCCTTTTTTCTTCTCAAGTGGCTCACTGAAAATGACGAGCTGCTCAAACAGAAACACCCGCCTCTCCCTGGCTTTGGACAGGATGCTGCTATCCTGCTCACTCACGGAGAAGGTGTCCTGCTGGAGAAGCTTCCCTTGAGCTGTGATTTTTCCCTAATTCAAAAAGTAGACCACAAACTCCATCAAATTATTGCATCCGACTTGTGATGAACAATTAACCCTCCCACTGTCTTCATGGGTGAGCCCGCCAGGAAAGTTGACATTGAGCAGGGTTGATGGTTTATCCCTTGAGGTCCACATGACAGGGGTGAGGTGGTGCTCACTCCTCACCCCTGCCACACGGGTCACCCACGAAGACAGTGGGAGGGTTAAATATCATTATCGATTATGAAATATGGTTCTTCACCAGTATGATTTCACACAATCCAATACTGCATAATTCAGTGGGTCATGACAGGATGTAACATGATACAATGTGATGTGACACAATACAATAAGCTATGATAACGTTGGGAAATGTAGTTTCAGACTCATAACTCTCCCAGTAGCCCATAGCAAACATAACCTCAATACAAATAATAATCAACCACAATGGCTTGTTGCATAATTCTTAATGTGTGTTTAAATATCACACACAAAAAAAAGGATAAATACCTCAAAGCCTTGCAGCCTGCTTACATTCATCATATCATTACAGCGTTTTGGCACAAAGCACATCACCTCCACAGCTTTCTGAAAGATGAAATCGAATCAGCACAACAAAAATAAAAATAAAATATGGAAAAGTCTGGGTTCATACCTGGAGCTCTTCAACGTTCCTCCCAGCTTTGCTGTAATATTTTAAGAAGTCCTGAAGATGCCATAGAGATACATTTTTTTATATAAAAAAATTGTTTTTATTTAAATTATGCTTTTACTCACAAAAAAATCCGACACAACTAATTCTCATTAAAAAGCGAATGAAAGCCTGTAGAAGCATGTGAACATTGTTTTAGTGTGACAAACCTTCAGGAGTAGCTGATACTTCATGATCCTCTGGACGGGTTTGATCAGGAGATCATTGAGCTGCAGCCTGTGACCCAGCTGCTGCCTGAGATCCTGAAGCACAAGGTGATGGGTTTAGTCAGATAAACAAAAAAAAAAAAATAGAATAAAGAGTCAGAACAAACAATCATGTTAGCTTCTCACCTCAAAGTAAGTCTCAATGTATTCTGAGACAACAAATTCTGACTTGGGTTTGTTCTGGCAGTAAACGACGTACATGTGAAGTCGTCGTTCCTGCATGTTCAACAAAGAGAGATGTGTGAAATCAAAGGGGAACTAGGCAGTTTTAGCTTGCTTTTAGCACCTCCTAGTGTCCGTTTGTAGAATCAAAAACAAAACGTACAGTATCTCCTCTTAGTGAGTTAATCTTAACACCTGAATCTAACTGTTGAAGAAGAAGAAACAATCTTTTCTTTTCTCAAGATAAAAATCACGAGGCGCTTCAAAAAAACAAAAAATTTAAAATACAAAAAATAATTTTTAAAATGATTACAAATATGTTTATAATAAGCAAAAATAGACAATTGTGATTAAAAATGTAAAGAAAGAGAGAGAGAGTTAATAGGAAAGAGGGAAATCAGTGGATCCTGAGGAAGGTGAAGCAGGTAAGGAGAGCAGAATAAGGAGAGAGTGGTGACGCAAAAGCCTGAACAAGTGAGTCTTCAGCTGCTTTTTAAAGGAGACCACTGAGTCCACTGATCTCAGGCTCAGGGGGAGAGAGTTCCAGAGTCTGGGGGCCACAGCAGCAAATGATCTGTCACCTTTGGTCTTTAGCCTGGTGCTGCACAACCAGTAGGCTTTGGTCACTGGACCTCAGGGACCTGCTGGGGGTGTAGGGACTGAGAAGATCACCAATGTATGATGGTGCTTGCCCATGTAAGGCTCTAAAGACCAGAACCAGGATCTTGAAATGAATCCTGAAGTTGACTGGCAGCAAGTGAAGCTGGAGGAGAAGCGGGGTGATGTGGGTGTGTTTGGAGGACTTGGTCAGGAGCCGATCACAGGCTCTCTGAACCACCTGTAGACGTTCAGGGAGGTTTTGCTCAGACACGTGAAAAGAGAGTTACAGTAGTCTAAGCGTGAGGAGATGAAGGTGTGGAGAACTGTCTCAAGTTCAGAGCGGGACAGAATGGGACTCAGCTTAGCAACGTTCCTGAGATGGAAGAAGGAAGAGCGAGCAAGAGAACTGACATGAGAATCCAGGGTGAGAGCTGGGTCAAAGGTCACGCCAAGATTCCTGACAGAAGGTTTGGCGTGAGAAGAAAGCTGACCAAGACAGTCTCTGACTTTGGGAACCAGCTTGTCTGGGGCACAGAAGAGGATCTCAGAAATGTCTCCTCAGCCTTCATAAGTGTCTACAGGAGTGATTGAAGTTAAAGCTAAAGTCCCTTTAATCATCACACACTGGTGAAATTCTTCTCCGCATTCGACCCATCGCTGTGGGGACGGTGAGCTGCAGCTGTGGCCGCACTCGGGAACTATTTATTACCAATAGGCCACTGAGAAAGTCATCACTAAATGAAACGAATCAGCTGTATCCATGATCTAAAACATGCTGGAACCAGACTGCAGCGCCAGGTATGTTGGCTCAATTTTCTCTAAGTCCCAAAGAGCGGCCTGCCAGTCTTAAGTTGAAAGCAGAACATTCTGGCCACAAGGGCGATAGGGGCTGGGTGGCCTTTCATTATAGCTTCTTTCTGGAGTATTTCTCTTATCAGATGGCACCATCTAGTGGCTGACAAGCATATCACACAAAAAATCTGTTGCTTTGTTTGTTTAAGATCGCAACTTCACATTTCTGTTTATTTATGTGATTCTGTAGCCGATAAACAGAGCTAAAACACGTTGTTTTACGAGTATTATTCTCATGTCATGTTGTGTTCTCATATATTTATATTTTAGAGACTAACTTGTCCGTGAAAAGTTCATCAACTCTGCATCAGCTGAGGTATTCCTTAAACTTAAAGCCCGTAAGCGGTAGTCTAATGCTATTGGTTAATTCTGGTCGGCGCTCAGTTTCCTATTGCACAGAGCTCTGCTGGGCAGGGGGCGTGCTTAGCAAAAAAAAAAAAAAAAAGACGTATTGTTTACATTTTATCACAGTACATGATGAGATTATCACTTTTACGGATTCCTGAAAAATCATACATCATTTCTGAAAGGGGAATACTCCGGAAAACAGCTTTAGCCCAGCAAAAAGTCAGTTTTGCACATGCTGGCTCAAGAAAACGATTTAAAAATGTGAAAAAGTTGCAAAATATCCCTTTAACAAAGGATTTGTTTTGTGTCAGTATGTTAGTTTGTGCATGAGGGAAAAGACACAGAAAGATAGTTTTCTAAAGCACCTTGGACCTCAGTTTCCTCCCTCTTGGTTGTGTGTCAGACCAGGAAATTGGTTTATTAAACAGATTCAGGGCTGGGAAGGAAATATTTTATTAGCTGTGGTTTAATCAGACATGCACGGTAATAAAAGTGGGAATAGGAGTGTGATAGCTGCTCTCTCTCTCTCACACATTGTATCCTTTTCTGTCTTTTTTGTTTTACAACACAAACTTACTTCCTTGTGTGTTTCCATTAAACTTTATCCGTTTGGTCATCTTTTGATGTGACTCAGTAAAAGTGCGTGTAGTAAATGATGCACATGTTCAGAATGAGACAACAAAATGAGGAAAACTCTGAAAAGCTTTGATGCAGCCACGTGTATTACCACACACACAGCTTGATGTCTGTAGAGCTTCTTTAACTCTTATTGCAGTTTTTAGGAGCTTTTTAACCAAACCAGTGTGATCATTGGACCTGCTTATTCTGCAGCTGTACCTCCAGAAAGAAGATCATAAACAAACATCTGGAAGGAGGCAGGCTAAAGCTTTCACACAAAGGAACTGATTGGATTTTTATTCAGAGAACATGCAGTGAAACAAGAGCCCAGCTTCTGATCTCCATTTGAGTGATTTGTTTGAAAGACTCACATGTTTGATAAATAGCTTAGCCAGGCTGTCTGGATCATCCACACTTTTTTCCAGTTCTCCCAGAAAAAAACTGCAAGACAAAAAGCAGAGCACAACCAAATCTGCTGTCAGACATGAAACGAGCTGACCCATCGTGAAACACTGGGAGGTCTGTAACATGAAAACGAACGGTCAAAGGAGCTCACTCTTTATGCCAGTCGTAGATCTGGTGGATGTTACCAAACACAATTCTGTCCTTCCCTTTCATGTCCTCTGGAGCTCCCTGATTGGCCATTGCGGTCATGTAGCCCTAAACAAAACAAACATCTCACCAATCAGCTCAGGGTGGTCTAAATGGGACGGAAAAATCCATTTTCATGTCGACTCACCTGGACGATGAGACCAAGGTCTTCAACATACAGCCTCTCTGTTTCTATCAGCTCTGCCAGGACATATCTGAGAGAAAAAATAAGGCTATCATGGTCTGGAAATTGCCTTGTTATGGTTCTACAAGCCCCCAAGGCTTCATAACACAAGCAGTCATCCACCCATTCACACGCTGGTGATGATGTGAAGACTTCAGAACATTAAGCTTCATTCTTTTATGCCTTTTTACCTCTAAAGCTTCTGTTTATATTGGGTGCCATTTGTAAAGTCAAACAGTTATAATTTAACAGCAGTTATTTTGGTTTTTTAATATCATAAGTGATTAAAAATAAAAGTTAATTATTCTAAGTCATATTTTCACCATGTTATTTGTACAATTAAAAATGTTAAAGTTTCCAACTAAATATTTACTCAGCAAGCAAATATTTAATTTTGAGTCACGTATTTATTTTAAAAACTAAATATTTAGGTCAGACCTAAATATTTAGTTAGCGAAGTAAACATGATTAACTAAATATTTAGTTTACTAACTAAATATTTAGATTGCAAAATAAATATTTTATTTATTAACTAAATATTTAGTTTATAAACTAAATATTTAGCTTCAAATTAAATATTATTTTTTTAAATAAATATTTAGATCCAAGCTAAAAATTTACTTGGGAGCTAAGCATTTAGTTTGCAAAATCAATATTTAGATTTATCCCTCAAAAAGATTTTGCTGGAATATTTTGCTAGGATCAAAATATTTATTTGGGAAAATAAATATTTAGTTTGTAAACTAAATATTTAGTTCAGTTCAGTTCATTTATTTATAAAGCACTTTAAAACACCCAGCACAGGAACAAAGTGCTGTACAGAAAATACATTAAAACAATAGAATAAACAGAAAGTAGCAAAGAGAAATAAATAAAACACAGGAGACATAAAATTAAAACAGCCCAATAATAAGAAAAAAAAACTAGATAAAAACAGCATTGAAACACACAAAAACAGCTAAAATAAGTCAAAACAACAAAAAAAAAAGTAACCGACATCTCACATGGTGTCAAATGAAAGGGTAAAGAGGTGTGTTTTCAAGAGTGACTTAAAAACAGGTAAGGAACTGGCCTTATCTCTAAAGGAAGCTCATTCCACAGTTTAGGAGCTGCTACAGCAAAGTCGCGATCTCCTCTAAGTTTACGCCCAGTCCTGGGTTCATTCAGGAGCAGCTGATCAGCTGACCTGAGAGAGCGGGAGGGTGTGTAAGGCCAGACAGGACAGAGAGATAAGAAGGTGCAAGGCCATGGAGACATTTAAAAGCAAACAAAAGAATTTTAAAATGAATCCTAAAAGAAATGGGCAGCCAGTGAAGTGAAGCTAAAACAGGGGAAATGAGCTCAAACTTTGGAGAGCCAGTTAAAAGACGGGCTGCGGCATTTTGCACCCTCTGTAGATGACTAATATAAGATGCACTGACCCCAATATAGAGTGCGTTACAGTAATCCAGCTGAGTGGTAACAAAGGGGTGGATCACTGTCTTGAAGTGCTGCCGTGAAAGAATTTGCTTTATTTTCGCCAGCTGCCTGAGGTGAAAGAAGCTAGATTTTACCACCGCCCTAATCTGATATTCAAACGTCAGATCACAGTCCACTTTGACCCCCAGGTTTGTGACAGTTGGCTTAACAAACTGGGCCAGGGAATCAACATACACATTGGGGGTCTCAGTAGGACTACCAAAAATCATCACCTCAGTCTTTTTATCATTGAATTTTAAAAAATTAATAGACATCCAAGCCTTTATGTCATCAAGACACTGAAGTAATGGCTGTATGCGGTATCCGCCTTGTTTCTGAAGAGGGACATAGATCTGACAGTCGTCAGCATACAAGTGGAAAGCAATGCCATGCTTACTCAGTATAGACCCGAGAGGAAGAAGAAACAAAGAGAAGAGGAGAGGGCCAAGAACTGAGCCCTGCGGGACACCACACAAGAGAGGAGCAGAGGACGACACATAGTCACCGAGACTGACACAAAATGTTCGCCCTGCCAAGTAGGACCTGAACCATTCGAGAGCTAAATATTTAAGTATAAAAATAAATGTTCTCTTGCTAACTAAATATTTAGTTGGCAACTTTAAAGAGCAAGTAACACCTAAATTAACTTTCTTTTTGCTGATAACCTGTATAGATCAGTGTCTAATGGTGCTGTACACATGTGTAATCATTAGTGTGGCAGTTTAGTGCAATTTATTTCAATGTAATATTTCAGTCCGCCATGAAATGTGGATGAAAGCAGTCTCCACCCATACACTGACTCCCACTTTAACATTTATAAATGTATGTATAACATTGTGAAATTATGACATTGAAAAATGAACTCCCATTATTTTTCTTTTATGATAGGCTGAATAACCAAAAAACTTCTGTTAAATTATGACTGTTTATCTTTACATATGGTATCCCACATAGTTAGGACACTCACTCTGCTTTAAATTATTCTTTTTTGCCCCAACCTCAAATCAGCAAAACACATGAGCTAAAAACAACATTTCAGCTTCAGCTCAGGTAATTTTTTGTCAGCTCTCAGCATTCAAACAGTATTTCTGCTACAAAATAATAATAAAAAATAACCTAGTTATCTCTCCATCTTTAAACCTTTAAAGGTTGTAAAAAGAGAGCAACGTGAGGCACAGAGTGTTTTTATTAAGAACTAGCACAATAAATGCACTATTGTGTTTTCCTTTAGCACCCAACACTCACAAGCTCTTCTCCAAGGCCATGTTTCTGTCCTCATCACTGTCCACTGCAGAGCACTGACTGGCTGAGTCCTCAGCCGGTGTACGGCCGTCCTCTCCACGATGAGGGTTGGGGCTGACTATCTGAATCTGAAACACATACATCCACCATTTTGCATGTTGTACAAAAGAGGTCAGAGAGGGGTCAAGCTGTAATGTGGTGCTCTCATTATTGCTGCAATATATAAATTTGCTTTATTCAGACATTTATTACTAAATAATGTAAACAACACTAACACCCAGTATCCACTGGTTGGTTTTAATAAAAATTGGGTAAAATAAAATGTTTCCATGCTTCTTTATTTTCTCTAATTTGACCACCTAAATTTCAGGCACCAGTATTTTTTGCTTTGAAAGACTTTTCCTTCAGTTACATGCTGAGTTTCCAAATCATGAGTGTTATTTAGAACTCTTTCTTAAATTAGTAAATGAAATATTTTCCAATTTGTTTTTTTACTATGTTTTATAAATGTAACAAAGTCCTTTCAGTCTCATTTTATACAAGTGGAAATTGAACCAGCTAACCTTATTTTATTTTTCTAATGTTTAACACTTGACTGTGGTGAGCACGATGTTCTCTAACTGATCAGAGTTTTGATGTGTCGCTTCAGACATTCAACAATAGTGTAGGTTACAGTGGGTCAGCAATAATTAGAAAGCGATATTTGGGTCGTTTCAGTCTTATTTACTTTATATTGTAATGCTTTTATCCCAAATTAGTAAAAAATGCAGAAAGGTAAAAAATAAAAATAATAATAATGTTTCTTGTTGTGATTCAGCAGCATTCATGACTGTAGCCATTCAGATGATTAATCTTAACACACACACACACACACACACACACACACACACACACACACACACACACACACACACACACACACACACACACACACACACACACACACACACACACACACACACACACACACACACACATGAATCAGTGTTCTATTTGCAGCATCTCCAAACACTTATCTAAGAGTAAGGACTTTTACTTTGTGAGCTGCAGAAGAAACAACTGTACAGTTTGTCAAGTCATGTCACAGATAAGTAACTGACCCTGGATCAGAGTTACATAACAAAAACCACTCCCCACCTAAAAGCTCCACAATCTAATGTAAAATGGACCATAATAATCCTCTTGACATACTTTAGTCCCAACACATTTTGTCCTCAGGACTCTAATACCTCTGTAGGATGGGTGTGTATTTGTAGGTCAGTGCTTTTAGTTTATTCTTTATCCAGAATCATCCCTCTGCTTCCTCTATTTCTGATTTTAAATGCTCACGTCTCAACACAGCAGGCATCCTTCCAGTAGACACATGTGTCTTGCCCGTGTATGTCTGATCTCTGAACTGTGTGTACTGAAACTCTAATTTCCCCCTGGGATTAATAAAGTATCTTTGATTTGATTTGATTTGAATCAGTTTTCCTTTGTCTCTAATGAGAAACTGTCATGTTTAAAAGGCTTAAATGTTACTTTGAAAACATGTTTTTCTTTCTTGCGGACTTCTAAAGTATTATCCAAAAGGAATTTCAAGAAAAAACATTTTACAAATTATAATATGGTTGGTTTTTTTTGTCCCCTGTGAGTTTGACCAGCTGAAACCAATCTGATGTTTTAGCAAGAAAATCAGTGCAGTAAGCTGAAACATCCATTCGCCCCAAGATAAAAACAGGAAACAGATCACAGTTTATGCCATTTTTCTTTAGCTGTTTTACAAAACTTCACATGGACTGTTTGAAAGATGTATCGTGCAGTAGTTTGGGACCAAATCAAAGCTGTTTCTAGTGCCTATCTGAGCATTTACTTTCATTACAAACGCGAGAACAATGTAAACAATCAGCACGAAGGTGGGTCACATTATTATTGCTGCATGAGCTTGTGAAATTAATTTGTCCTAAAGGGATACATAGATTAAAGATTAGCTCATTCATAATGCTATTCTGTAAGAGTTAAAAATGACTTTAACCTTTTCAAAATTCCTACTCCTGGTGTAAACATTACAAACGTGACCCTGTCACCACAGAAAACATCTAACATCCCCAAGGCCCCATGTGTGAAATCCACTGAAATCATGGTGAAAAAATGCGACGCTTTAGCGCCACGCAGTTCAGAGAAAGTATTGCAGCTACGGTGGCTCACTCATGAGTTTGACTGTATAACCAATTTCCAAACTGTGTAGCCAGCTCAGTGACCTAGTGGTAGAGTGTCCGCCCTGAGACTGGGAGATCAGGGTCCGATTCCTGGTCGGGTCATACCAAAGACTTTGAAAAAATGGGACCCAATGCCTCCCTGCTTGACACTCAGCATTACGGGCTGGATTGGGGGGTTAAACCACCAAATGGTTCCCAAGCGCGGCTGTGTCTGCAGCTCACCGCTCCCCCTGGGGATGGGTCAAAAGCGGAGAACAAATTTCGCACACACATCAGTGTGTGTGACAACTAATGGGACTTTAACTTTAACTTTAACTAATCCACACAAAGCTTCAAACAAGCTACTCGACCTCTTTAAAAAAAAGCATTTATAATTATGACTGTTTTATCAACCTACCAGTTCTGAAGGAAGCAAGCTAGTTTTGTTCTTGAAGCGTTCACGATTCACACGTGGAGGAGGGGTGACGTCAGCCGGGAGGTCAGGTGTTGTGAGAAATTGTGTTCCCCTGAAATATTCTGTCCCCCGTGTCGGGAGATGCACTTCTGGCTATTTTCACAACATTTGTGATAAACTTTTACTGGAAAACGATGTAATGTAATGTAATAATGTTATGCTTGTAATTTTTTTTATCTGTAATTCCTCCTAAAACCATAAAAAAGATACAGTAAAAACATTCTTGTTCACTTTTTTGCAGCAAGCTTATTTATCATTTTTGAAAGTTATGTAAAAAGATGTAATCTCACTCAGTTTAACCATCTTTTTTTGAGGAAGTTTAGTCCTCATAATGGACAATAAGTTCTGTGAAATTGGAAATATTTGCTCTTGATTGCCTAAGGGAAACAGAATATTTCAGGAGAACATAATTTCCCACAACACCCGTTTCACGTGGATCATGGTGCCTCGATGTAAACAAACTGGCTGCTTATATGGATATGGACCGATCACTGGCTGATCTTAACTACGATCTTAACTACGGTTGGTGAAGGAGTGTTGTTGAGCTGGGGACACGCTGTAAACAATCCACCAGCTAATTGTGGCTAACGGCTGGGGTGGTGGAGATGGGCGACATGAGCTACTGAGCTACTAGTTAGCCATGGCTAGAGCCGGGGAGACGCTGTGTATGCTGTAAACTCCCACGGATTACCAGCAAAAGGAGACTCAAGTCTAAAGGTAACATTTGAGAAGAAGAAGCGTCTCTGTAACATGTGGAGAACTACATCATCTTTAGTAGAGTGTTGTGATAAAGTAGGCTAAGCAATGTTGCTTTAGCCACTGGCTAGCGCATGAGCGCTGGAGCGTGTTGGGCGAGAAGGCAGGCTGCGGGAAGAGAGGAGACTTGAGTAGAAAGACTTTGGAATGGACACGTTGGGACAGAGTCAGGAGTTCTGGTACTAGGAAAATACGATTGAACAACTTGAGGTGGGTTTGGGAGTCAGAGACACTAATCGGAGGCTAGGGTCCAGCTAACAGCGGTGGGGATCTGAACATATGCTGCTTCCTTGTGTTGGACATGATGACGAGCTGACAAATTTTATGTATCTTTTGATTTAATTGTTTTTTTATTCAAACTAACAAATACAGCAACAGTGTAGCTATTCTTTTCTATTTCTTAGTTGAAGTAGCAGACTCCATGCTTCCAGGGTGCACTGCTGCCCTCTGCTGGTTCTTTCTGGTTACAGTCATAGTCCAAACGGGTAACGTGGAGCTCGTAAGTCCCTAAACAGCTACTGTATTTTAAGATGGCGGATGACCATGGAGCATCGACCACAGTTTATGTATATAAAAATTTATAATTTCAAGTTGAGCGGAGTATTTAGAATTGATGTTGGTGAGAAATATTAGTGAAAAAGGACAAGTTTTTGAACTGGAAACACAGGATTTGATAGTAAACTGGAAAAATATTACACACTGGGCCTTTAAAAGCATTCCCTTCATCCTACTTCATTTTTGACAACCATCTATTTTATATGGATCTGCACCTTTATGTATTCTTGTTTTTAACTGCAGACGTTAGAATATACCAAACTAAAACTAAATCTGTTGTTTATTCTGTTATTCTTTTTGAAATTACCTCTGGACTGTGAATACCAACAGAGTTTGTGTTAAGAAAATAAAGAAAATAAAGCACCAGACTCTGTGGGTTTCTGCTTTGCAGGTCACATAAGTCTCCCTGTGGAGTCTCCAGTGAAGGTGTTGAAGCCGTTGGACTTTTCCACTCCTGCAAAAAAAAAAAAAAACATGCAGCATTAAATTCAAGTCCACCTGCTGTGTTTCTCTGTTTGTGCCACAAAGTCTCACCGTGTTTTCAGATGACAGATTGGTGTCTTTGTTCATTTCCAGAGACTTCTGCTGAACCCCACTGTTGGGTGGAGATGATGGCGCTTCCTTTTCATCCGATGTGAACATCTGCTTCTCGGCTTTAGCCGCTCCACCTCTGGGATCAGAGCTCAGCTTTCGGACGGGGTTGGTAAGCCATTTCTTCAGGGCGCTGACGGGGTGCCGGGATCCTCCAGATGAGGAGTGTGAGCAGGGGCTGGTGCTGCCTGAGGCCTGGTGGGGCATGGATCCCATTGATGGGGTGGTGCTGCCTTCGCTTCCTGCCGCAGAGTAGGACTCAGCTGCAGGGATGAAAGAGAGGGACATGTTCATTAGCTGATTGGGGGGTGTATATATATCCTCATATAATACATCACAACCAGATTTGTACAGGAAACTTTCCTGTTCTAAACCCACAGGTACTGGACCTTCTGTGGTCCCAAAACATATGCACATAAACACAATTCTGTTCTCAGGAGGAAAGTCTGTCATAAAGATACTTTTCATAAGTTTCTGTCAACATTTATGACAATTACAGCAAACTGACAACAAACAGACTATTTAAAACATTTTGGAACCAGTTGTTCTCTGCTTAGTTGAGAGGAGATGTGTACATCTGGGGTGGTTACAGTAAGAAGTATTCGGTCTAGCGTTTGCTCCTGACGAAGGCGTACGCTGTACAGTGTGTTCTCGAGAAGAAGAATGGGAAAATGAAAAATATAAAGGTGGAAATTATATAATGGGTGGGAATTGGATTTTAAAGAAGTAGCCACAGAGAAACTTTCCTAAGGACTGAAAAAGACCAATCTTATTAATACCAGAGTCTTTCTGTTCAGAAATAAAATAACTTTTGCACAGTGTTGTATGCAACAGAAATAACCAATAAATGGTGTTTACTATTCCAGGTTTCTATTAATAACCACTGTACACAGTTTAGCTGAAGCTAACGTGGAAGTAAAATTGGTTTAAGTGTTTGCTTGTTTTTGTAGTTGTTTACTGAACTAATGACGTTTTTGTTCAACTTTGTCAGATCTGCTGATGTTAATCCCTCTGTTTAAATCAAACCTCACATTTTTGTTCCTGGCACCAATTAGTTGGGCTTTGGTCCAGGTTGCTTCCTCACAGGGGAGCCATTTCACCGTTGGCAACTCCCTAACTTTAACACAGCAATACTTCAATAAAACAGTGAGGCAGTGGTTCAAAATGATCTTGGTTCATACATAAAAAGCAGAGAATGTTACAAGCACAAAATCATAAACCGGTGTCGGTACAGGATCGGCTCGGGGTCCTTCGACTGCCGATGACGTCAAAGTAGTTGATTGGCTGAACAAGAAGCTTACGGAAGTGACGTTATCACATTATGATTTTGATTGGTCAGAACAAATTTGCAGTTGTAGTCCTGTAGTCCCAAAAATCAACACTTTTTGGAGAAAATATGTTTGAATTTCTAAAGGAAATGTAAAATATAAGCAAATGATAAACGGTGACCCTCAAAAGCTCTTGATGTTGATGAAACGGGGCAAAATAAAATATAAGAACTTCATTGAAAGACACCAAGCAATATTTGAGTCAAAGAATGTATTTAGATAACAACTAAGGAAATATACAGACGAACTCCACATTAATACAAACAGATGTGGCTTCACATATAAGAACTGTTCTATTTTTTTGTCAGTCCGATGTTGGTTTTATGCAGTTTCACATTCTTTACAAAACAAAGATAATATGGTGTTTTATTAACAAATTACAATTATAAAGAAAACATTTAGGTGTTAACAAACAATAATTTAACTAAACTGCTGATGTCTTTCCAAAATGTATGTGTGAAAGCCGAGTAGAGTTGCAGTAATGTGACGTCACTGGCAGTCGAAGGACCCCGAGCAGATCCTGCACGACACCGGACCGTTTTAGGCCTTATATAACTGTGGATCTGTATGCGTCACAAATCATGAACAAGATACAAAAACAATCTAAAATCAGTCAAAACTAGTCTGGTTGTGGAATAAAATCATCAAAAGTCAGATAGGAACCTAGCAGATATCACACTAATAATTCAACAGTTCTGTGTTGCATATTTTAGTCTTTTAGCTCTTTTTTGTGAAGCTGTCATTCTTTGTTAGCACATTTTGTCAGCTTTAATCACAACAGGAATTCTTAAGACACCACAGGAAAACTGGGCCAATCATTGCGGAGATGAAGTCCAGAAAATAACCACGTGTAATTGTTCTGTTACCATTGTTCCCTTAGAATAAATGTATGAGTTAGTGACATGTCAGGATGAAAGTATCAGAAGTATAAGAAACAGGCAAATTAACATCCATAATATTAGAACCACTAAAAATATCTGATTAAATCAGCTTCCCATCTCAAGCCTGTCACACTGATTACAATTTGTGTCACTTTCTAAAAGAAAACAGGTTTGATAGTTTCAAAAGGCAACAAACCCTCTTTTACACGTATTTAACAAGAAAATGTCAGGAAAGCAAAAACCGTCTCACCCTCTTCCTGTCTATCTGATGAAAACTCAAGTATGACGCATGCAAAAAACACTCCGAATGAATTAGATGTAAAATGAAAATGTAATGTAAAAATGTTTGTTTTAAAGAGAATCTCCTCTGAGTTGAGTGACTGAACTTGTCGTGATGATTTGTGACAGTTGTGTGACGTTGTAACTTCCAAGAAGAAGCACTACCTGGAAGTCAGGGAGAATATGGAGAGTGCAAACATGCATTATGCCCCAGACATCACCTAAACACTCGGTTACAGCTACACTATACAGTAAAACACGTTTTCTGCAGTCAAATCTGCTTTAGAGGTAGTCTAATAGTTTGTAGTTTATACAGCCCATACAGATTGTGGGTGGATGCTGGTTCAGGGAGCTCAGGCAACACAAACACAAAAGCAGGTGAAAGTAAATAAAAACAAATGTCAGAAATTGCCATACTTCCTCACATTTCGTCCGGCCAGTAAAAAGGCTTCAGTTTTCTGGATTTTTTATGGTTCAAATCCTCTCAGAATCACTGCAGCAGCTAATTTTACATCCCCAACCCCCCAAAAAACTAGCAACTAAAAAAAAAATCATTCTTTCATTCTAGCTTCTCATTCTAGAAGTTCTACTCGGATGATGTTGTTGTGTCAAAAACAACTTGGAGGCAATTACCAGCTGAGATTATTTACTTTTGGAGTGTCGCTTTGAGCAGCAAGATGAATCAGCTCTGAACATTATTTTGTTTTTGTCACCAACAGGGTTTAAAGTATGAGTGCTGATGGATGATAAAGTCATTATATATAATTCTTCTGATTAAAAACACAAGAGGATGTTAAATATTCAAAATAATGTGAGCTAATTAAATCTGTTGTGACAACTTAAGGACTGCATGATTTATCCAACGACTCCCACAGCAGCTTAGGTTAATTTTAACATTTGTAATTGAACATATCACATAATCTTATAACGGAGGCAATCATTTAGTGCAAACACAAACCAAAGAGTTGTTTTCTTTCTTTAAAAACTCACAAGTCAACTAGGAAGTAGGCTTCTGCTTGCAGCCTCTAAAAGAGCAGCTAACACTCCCCCGCTTTCAGAAAGAGGGTCTCACCTCGATTTACTCTTAACTCGGAGTCTGTTGTGCAAAGCTACCTCCCTCACATCCTGCACAGTTAAATATAAACCTGACTTCCTTTTTACGTCTTTGAAAGCTTAGAAAGTTCATACACAATGAAACATTTAATAACATGTTAAGGCTACAATGGGACATTTGAAAAATAAATTAGCTTAAAACATTTTTTTCATGCTTTTCAACAACGTTCTAACATGGTATAGCTATGTATGTAATGCAGAGATAAAAAAAATAATAAAGTGGTTCTCTCGTATTTGTCTAAAAACCTCCACCAATAACACGTTTCAAACCGAAAGCAGCCATTGGGCCATCCTGTTGGTCTTGTCGAATCGCCACACTTCTGCTCATCCCTGTTCCTCCACTCATTACACACTTACATACAGTATTTACATATTCTGGTGTGAGAGGTTCTCCACTCAATGACATCAGAGAAGGAGAAACAGCCGGCTGCTACCACTTTCAGCTTTAGAAAAACACCATTTGAAGTCACGGACAACAAAAAACTTTGGACATGGCGACTGGTGTTCAGCACTATATTGTTTCCTGTGTTCCGTGATTGCGTTTTTGCATTCAAAACCTAGCTTGTTTACAGATTCGCCATAACAGCTTTAATCAGAATCAGCTTAATTGTCACTGAACCAATAAAATTATTTGGGTCTGTTTTGCTCCACATCGTTTCTGTTCTACAGTAAACTAAAACAGCTCAGCAGCAGATATTCCACTCCACTCCTCAATTTGGCATATTTCATGACTTTTTAAATCATGCTGAATCTTTAATATATTCTTCAAGTAGAAATAATTCATAACTGATTACTCTTTAATGATTTACATGTGCAAGACCTTTAAAATGGGGTTGTTTGTCAAATTCTCAGTAAAAAGCCCTTTCTTCTGCCTAAGGCAATCAGAATTCTTCCTGTCTGTTGGAAACGTCATTTTGTTTTTTAATCTCACGGCAAATTTATTTTAAATGCTACTGGGATTTAGCCAAGCCCCCACAATATGGCTCAAAAATTGAAACAATCCTGGAAGTTCCAAAAATTGCAGTTCCACCCTCATCCGCTGGGGGCTGGTGTCAGAAACGAGCAAATCCTCATTGACTCCCATGTTAAAAATACCAATTTCACAGCAGAAATAAACATGTTTACAGCCTGGTACCAAAACATGTTTTTGGTTTAAATGATCTAGTTTACACTCATGACAACTCTGAGGGGGTGAATTTTTTTCTCACTCTTCTGTTAAAGTGTATTAAAAGCCTAAAATTCTGTATAATTGAGCATCAGACCCACATGACCACAGCTAGCTCCGTGGAAAGGCCTCAGTAGAGCCTCGGTCTTGCTTGGAAACTGCTCTGGGATTTTGAGTCTCTTTGTTTGTGTATTCTTTTTTGGATGTTTTTTGTGCAATTGTTGGACAAAATGACTTGCTGTGGCATTAATTGCACTAATAGAGCGTCCAAGGAGTCTCCACTTCATTTTTTTCGGTAAGTAAAATTATATTTATGTATTTTACGTCACTGCCGAGCTGAGCTTAGATTTTAACATGTACTGTTTAACCATGAAATTTAAATGTAATAGGGTAAAACCCAGTGCATTTAACATAATGCTGCACTTTAGAAAATGGGTTGAAATATAACATGTTGGTGGAGCTGGGTTCCAACTATCGGCTTGTGGAGCTCTCGGGAGACCGATGTTTTCCACCCGTTTCTCCCCTCCCTGCAGCTCGGCGCATCTCTGTCTGATCGTGGCTGCCGGCTTGTGGAGCTCTGGGATGGAAACCTTTCCACCCAGTTTTACCCAACGGTCAGCCCAGCGTATCTCTGACTCAGAAGCTCTGGTGTTGTGCACAGTTAACTCCGGTTGTAGCTAGGTTGCTACCTCCGTTAGCTTAGCTCCCACCTCCGCGTTAGCTTTGGGTTAGCTTCAGGTTAGCTTGTAGCTAGTTTGACCGGGTGTCGTCAGTTGATCCCAGCCTTACAGCCCCACCCTCAGCTCCACCTGTCTTCCCTTTTGTGGAATTGTCTGGGCTTGACGGAACCTGTGACACGGTCAAAATGGCGGTGGTGGCCACCTCCCATTTGGCCTCAAAAACGTGTTATTGGAGTCTATGGAAATGAATTGTCCAGTATATATGTCGATGGATTTAGTTTATATTCCAGCCAAATGCATCATGACCTGAAACTGTAACATGTTGTTTACATATCGTGTAATTTTGTGAGTATTCTGTAACACGGGAGCGAAACTGCTGGCAGCTCTTTGAAACTGATTTCTGTTTCTAAAGGTGCTCATATGCCTTCATTATCGGTACCAAGTAAAAAGACAAACCTATCAAAAGATCAGTGAGTGGAAGGAGAATCGGGTCTTTATAGGATGGAGATCAGAGAGCAGGAGGAGAGCCTCATAAAAAACAGCAGCTGAAAAATCAAATGAAACAAAATGAGCAAAAACAGGACATAAAACAGTAAATAACTATAAGAACCACACAATGTGGATCATGGTCTTTTGTTCAGACGAACTCATCCTCACAGACAATAGAAAATAGAAAACAGCTAAAAATGCTGATGTCAGAAAGTGTCTCTAAAGAAAAGTCACCGGGCGGTGACGATCTTATTGAGGTCAGTGGACAAGAGGTGAGAAAGCATGGACGCGTCAGCACACGTCTGTTTTCATTTTCACATTTCACTTGTCGGCTCACAGCATTTGTTACGCTGCTCTGTAATCTCCCCCCCCCCTCCCCCCCCCCCCCCCCCAACAACTGGAACAACAGAGGATTTACAGGTCAGAGCAGGAATAGCACATGTTGACTGTAAGCGTGTATGTGTTTGGGCTTGGGCTGTTTTTCTGGAGAACAGGGAGACCAACAGGGTTGCTCAGTGATTCTTATATTTCCATGAGTCAGTGATCTGTGGAATGTTTGGACCCACTGTGATCCAGATGTAACGATGTTCTACCCCCCAAGGCGCCATACAACTAACCAGTTATTCACCCACGCACACACACACACGCAACAATACTCAGGTAGGTTGTGGAGTTTAAACCAGGCTCAGGTGGTGCTAAGGGGAGAAGTGGGAGAAGAACCCCCACCCCCACCATTACACCTCCAGCAGCAGCCTGAAGTGTTGAAACAAGGATGGATCCATGCTTTCATGTTGGTGACACCAAATCCTGACCCGACTATAATCCAGACTCATCAGACCAGGAAAGGTTTCTCCAGACATTTCTGGTCCGGTTCTGGTGATCCTGTGAGAATTGTAGCCTCAGGTTCCTGTTCTTAGCTGGCAGGACGGACACCTGGTGTGAACTTCTGCTGCTGGAGTCCATCTAGAACAGCTGTTGTGGTTCAGAAATGCTTTTCTGCAGATCTTGGTTGGAACCAGTGGTCATTTCATCTTCTGTTGTCTAGTATCAGCCTGACCATTATCCTTTGACCTCTGAAGGGATATGTAGTCTTTTTCTGACCTCTCAGTTATCCTGAGAAGGTTGCAGGTGAAAATCCCAATAGATCAGCAGCTTCTGAGATGCTCACATCAGCAAGTCAGGCACCAACAAACATTTCACATTCAGAGTCTCCTGACTCTTTCTTCTTCAAATCTTGGTTCAACTTGAGCAAATAATCTTCACCTTGTTTAAATGCGTTGAGTTGCTGCCATGTGATTGGCTGATTAGTCGTCTGTGTTAAGAACTGAACAGATACACCAAATACTAACGAGTATCAGAGTTTCCAGGATGACATCACAGCAACACCGTTGTGGTGACTCTTTGTTCTCTGGAAGCAGAATAAAACTGCATGCCAAATGCAGATTAAAATATCTCACACTGATTTTAAGGATCCCTGCATTTTCAGCATTTCCTCATTTGCTGTCTTTTCATGAGGAATTACACATTTCCTGGTAAAATGAGCAAAAATGTGAATTTCTTGTGCTTAAATTGAGTTCTCCAAACTCTTAAAACCATCCTGCCAAGTGTAGAACATTATCCAACTTGTTGGTGCATCATTAGGTGATAATCCACCACATGGAAAAGGATTCAAGATACACAGAGTATTTGTAATCCACAAACCAGACGCTAAAAATCAAACTTCAGGAAAAACCAAACTCATAATCATCTGTGAAGCACATGTGATAGAAACCGACAGAAACATCTGGATCTGCTCTGAAGGTAACAGACACACGCTGTTTTAGATTCAAGATATGCAACAGATTATCAGATGATAATATGAAGATGAAAGCATTTAAAATACAAAAAATATCCACGATGACTAAGTTAATTATCCTAATTACATCTGAGAAAATGCTTCATAATATAAAAGTTTTCTTTAAGATGAGAAGATACATTAAATATGATTTTGTATGAAGTGAAAAAAAACTGAAGTTGCTCTACAGCCAGCAGCTAAGAGTTGGATTTTTTAATGGAAGTAGTTCATTTTTAATCCGTTTATGCTGTTTAAATTTGTCTTTAGCTCGCTCTGATTAAAAAGGGATTAAACTCTTCACAAAATGAAAAGAGATGCTTTTCAACATTAATCCCCAGCTGCTTTTTGTTTAAATTATTCCTGTAACAAGTGGCATTAATCTGGTTTTATTTTCCATTTTAAATTGATCATAAATAAAAAGATGCAATAAAAACTACACCAGATTTCTTTGCAAGTCGCTCCATTTTTGGTATTATTTAAAGGTACCATCCTCCTAGTAGACAGATAAGAGGATAAGGCAAAGATCAATATAGTGAATAGAAAGTATTTACTTTAAAGAAACCTTTGTGTTTAAGTGAAAATTCAGCTTTGATGAAGTGGCATGATAATCTGACTGAATTATTCGTAGAAAGCTGTGCAAACCCAGTAAAAAAAGTTGATTAACTTCCAGTGAAACTCAAATCCGGTACCTACCTCGACCTCGGACAAAGCAGCAGCTACAGGAACGGAGAACTTTCCTGAACAGGTGCTGACACCCACACCCTCGCTGGTGCTGCCCCCCTTTCATCGTGATCCACGTCTTCTTTCAGACTCAACAACATCCGGAGCGGAGCTGACGTGATGCTTGAGGTGCAAAAAGTACAACACATACACGCACACACACTACTCCTGTGGTAATCCCCAGGAGAGATGAGTGGAAAGGTGTCCAGAGAGCTCCACGGTCATATTCCAAATCAGGGCAGGAACCTTTGAGGAGAACAGTGATCCTATTCCATGGAATGATGACAAACAACAGGAAAACGTTCCTGACTTTGACTCACGAGCCTCCCTGTGTGGTCACACAGGGGTGGAAGGTTTGGGAGTGAGTGAGGCAGTGACTGAGGGGTAGGAAAGAGGAGGAGCTGTGGCGAGAGTGGGGTTTAGCAGACGGTTCTGCTGTGCCAGCATCTGTTTCTCCTCACTCCTGTTCACACATGCCTCTCTCTTCTACTGCAGCAGCATCTATTTTCTGCATTTGCTCATGTGCTGTCTTTTCATGAGGAATTACACTTTTCCTGGTAAAACTAGCAAAAATGTGAAGTGTTGTAAGTGAATATCTGTTGGGTGGTTTTTTTTACTGATGGGTAGGTAGTCTTTCTTGTGTAACTGAGTTGGTAGATTGATTCCAGTGCTTATTTAAAGATATTTCACAGTGAAACAGCTGATTATCTATTTTTATAGCAGTTCCTGGAGGTGAATTCCAGTTGAATCAGAAACTCTGAGTTGGCAAATCCGACAAAGCCACAACATTCTCATGATTTCCTGTAGCAAAAACGACATTTACAAACTATTTATTTCAAACTCTGCTTTGTCTCTAACTTTTAAAACCATAAGAATCTTAATATCAGAAATATCAGTGAAAGTGCTGTACAAAATACCTAAAATGATCAGAAACAACTTGTGTTGGATAGAGTAAAACATTTTTTAATTTTCTGCAAAACATCCATCTATCCATCAATTTCTGTCTGCTTATCCGGGGTCGGGTCATGGGGGCAGCAGCCTTCGCAGCGAGACCCAGACTTCCCTTTCCCCAGCCACTTGGGCCAGTTCCTCTGGGGGAATCCTAAGGCGTTCCCTGACGAGCTGAGAGACATCGTCTCTCCAGCGTGTCCTGGGTCTTCCTTTAGGTCTCCTCCCAGTTGGACGTGCATGAAAAAACCTCACCAGGGAGGCGTTCAGGAGGCATCCTAACTAGATGCCTGAGACAGCTCAACTGGCTCCTCTTGATGTGAAGGAGCAGCAGGTTTACTCTGAGCCCCTCCCGAATGACTGAGTTTCTCACTTCTCAACCTATCTCTGAGGGAGAGCCCAGCCACCCTGCGAAGAAAACTCATTTCCACCTCTTAATTCTTTCGATCACTACCCAAAGCCCCTGACCCCTGACTCCAACCTCATCCGTGGTTCCAGACAATCGGAGTCTCCATCTAAAACTAAGGTGAAACTTTCCATTGTTATCCTGATGTGAATGTAAACTGTCACCCCTCCACTCTCCTGTTTAACATTGTTATGGAGACAGTTGTGTGTTTCTGTGGGACCAGATTGTTTTTCCTTCATGGAAGAGATGGCAGAAGATAGTGTTAAGAGCACAAATACCCGGATGTTCTCTTGAACGGAACAACTCGGTTGAACCCTGGACTCGACAGGAAGGGACAGTCGGATCTTTTCCTGTGGCCGTTCCTGTGCTTCAGGATGTGATGCACCAGTCTGCAGATGCTTCATGAAACCGGGGCTTTTATAATCAACTCTGTGGTCTGATGGAGCAAAAAGCTAAAGGTGATTGTTCTGTGATTTGCCAAAAAGTGACTATACTTTTGTTTCAGATTACTGAAGACAGATAATCTCTAATCCCAAAGTACCAGGATGTGGTCTTCTGCTGTCAAATAGACAGATACAGGAAATCCTGCCGCATGCCCACTCCCATCACCAGTAGCTCTATTTACCCAAATCTGTGCTGACATTTTAATTAGTTTCCTCTTGTGTTGAAATTTATATTTGATTTGACTTTAGGATTTATTGTATGTTGAATAAAGTCTTGTGTACAGCCTGTTATGCTGCTGCTGCTGAATAATTTCCCAATTATGGGAACAATAAAGCTCATCTCATCTTGTCTGGTCTGCTTCGTCTCGTCATGGCTCATCTGTTCTGGTTTCATCTCATGTCATCTCGTCTCCCCTCAGTCTGGTAGCACTGAGTTAGGTGAGAGGCTAAATTCCTTCAATAATTTGAGTAAGCCATAGAAATGCAACGTTTTTAACTCCGTCAGAGCAATGATTTAATCAAAATATGTCCAAATATCCATACACAAACCAGTTATCAACTAGCTTTCACCGTTTTATTACTAAATATCTGTAAGAGCTCCTCACAATTACATTTCACTGATATCATCATCATCATCCTCATTTATTTCGATAGCACCTTCCACTACCTTTGTAGTAGCCCAAGATGCTGTACACTTTCACAATAAAAAAAACGAAGCAAACGAATAGTAAAAGAATATTAAAAAAATACTCAGACAATAAAAAAGGTAAAATAAGTAATAATAAAAGTGAACTTAAAAACAAATGCAAAACAATTGAAGACTAAAATCACAGTAAAACCAAGACTGACTTGTGACTCAACAGGAAATGGGATGGAGCCTGCCTCACAAAATAAAGGCAACGCGTTCATTAAGCTTGGAGCCACCACAGAGAATGCATGATCCCCCATAGATTTGCATCTAGAGCGTTGCACTTCCAAGAGTTTCCTGTCTAGGAAACGCAACTCCGGGTCGGGGGAGAGGTCCTACCTCAAGTGGAGGAGTTTAAGTATCTCGGGGTCTTGTTCACGAGTGAGGGTAGGAGGGATCGGGAGATCGACAGGCGGATTCGTTTGGCGTCTGCAGTGATGCGGACGCTGAGCTGATCTGTCGTGGTGAAGAGGGAGCTGAGCCAGAAAGCCAGGCTCTCGATTTACCGGTCGATCTACGTCCCAATCCTCACCTATGTGTCATGTTCCTGGGCAGAGGTGAGTCACACCTTCTCCTCTCACCAGACTCTGAGCTAATTCTCCACAGGTGAGGAGCAGGGGGAGCGGCAGCTGCAGGAGATTTCCCAATCAGGGACGCGGGTTCAAAAGGAGGATGGAGACACATCACTTTGCCGGATGATTGCACCAGTTTAGGTAGCACCAGCCACTCGACTCTGAACTTTGATCTTGTTAATTCGTGTTTTGACTCGCCTTCGACTAGTGGATTTATGACCTTGGATTGTATTTTGGATTTGGAATTGGATTATCCCTTACGCCTGTTTTTGTCTCGCTCAGGATCATCTCATCATCTACTCACCCTCGCTGTCTTCGTTTTCTGGAACATACTCATCACGTCCCATCCTCCTCCGCCGTTCCTGTTTGGCTTTCCCTCTGCTACCTCACCCCTCCTGGATCTCTCATCCTCTGCCCAGCGTCCTCCCCGGCTTCCCCTCCTCTACTGATTAACCTGAGCACCTCAGAGACTCGAGCCGTATTGCTCATCCCACAGGACTTCCCTGTGCGGTTTCAGTTCCCGTTTTTATAATAAAGACATTTTACTTTACTGCTTTGGACTACGTGTGCTGATTCTGCATGTCTTGGGTTAGACACTTACCTCGAGCCATGACAGAATCATCCGGCCACACATCTAATCCAGCGGAGTCAGCACTCGCGGATCTTGCTACCCGGATGTCCCAACAAGAGCAGACTCTTCCCGTCCTCATGGAGCAGCTGAATATCACCAACCAACGTTATCAACGTTTGGAGACCGTCCTGCAGCAGCTTCAGGAGCAGCTCTCCTCTACAGCCTCGGGTTCCGTCCCCGCTCCAGCGACAGCCGCCGCTCCGGCGTTCGGAACAGAACCACACGCACACGCCTCGGGAGGTGTGGTTTCACCTGGACCGGAGGCGCTCGGCTCTCCGGAAATCACCCACTTCCGTTCGGCTCCTCCTCGGCAATGTCCGACCTTCTCCGGTGAATTCGAGGATTGCTTTGGGTTTCTGCTACAGTGCCGCCTAGCGTTTGAAGACTCCCCGAGGTCTTTTCCTACTGACTCAATGAAGATCTCGTTTATTGTTGGACTACTTAGAGGCAAGGCGCTTCGGTGGGCGGAGGCTAAGAGCAGAAATCCTAATTTCCTGTCTGGTTCTTACCCAGACTTTCTGGAGGATTTTAAACTGACTTTTTGCAGTTCAGAGACCACCACTGACATCAGAAGAAGACTGTTGCACCTCTCGCAGGGAAGAAGGTCAGTGGCTGACATGTCTCTGGAGTTTAGGACCTTGGCTGCAATGACATCATGGGGAGACGATGCCCTTAAAGCAGCATTCATCGAAGCGCTGAACGATCGGGTAAGGAACCAGCTGGCTCTGTGCCCCGAGCCATCAACCCTGGACGGACTGATCTCATTATGCATCTCTATCGACAAGAGACACAGGGAGCTTCAGAAGACACCATTCAGGGATCTGTCACCACCTGTAGCACATCGTCCATCCCATAGGTCTCCTCCTCTGGACTCACCCGAGGAGCCCATGCAGGTGGGACGTACCCACCTTACTCCAGAGGAGCGCCAACATCGTTACAGTAAAGGGTTGTGCCTTTACTGTGGAAAACCAGGACACATGGTGCACACTTGCCCTGCGGCGTCAAAAGGGCGTGCCCACCAGTAGTTCCGGGAGTTCTGGTGGGCAGTCATTCAGGTAAAGAGACCTCCCGTTTTCTTATTGACTGTGCTTTGACTGTTAACAGTCGTCGCCACCGGACGACTGCTCTAGTAGACTCAGGATGTGAACAGTCTTTGGTGGACCCTCAACTGGTGCGGGATTGGGGACTGTCTACTGTTCCACTGCCGGAACCTTTAACAGTGTCCTCCCTGGATGGGAGGCCCCTGGCCACAATCACCCACCGGACCCAACCACTCCAGCTCCAGGTCTCAGGTAACCACACGGAGATGATCTCATTATTTGTGTTTCCCTCCCCGCAGAACCAAGTAGTTCTAGGCCATTCCTGGCTTAGGGTACACAACCCGTGTTTGGACTGGAGATCAAGCCGTGTGGAGACCTGGAGTCCGGAGTGTCATCTTACCTGCCTGACCTCTGCTTCCTCTGGATCCAAGGACTCTGAAAAGACTCTTGTTGAGCCGCCCGATCTCACCCAGGTACCAAGTGAGTACCATGACTTGCAGCAAGTGTTCAGTAGAGATCAAGCAGCCACGTTGCCACCTCACCGTCCATTTGACATTGGAATAGACCTGTTGCCAGGAGCTCCGCTCCCAACCAGCCTCCTCTACAGTCTGTCCAAACCTGAACAGGACAGTATGAGGAAATACATTACAGAGGCCCTGGCCAATGGCATAATCAGGCCATCCACCTCGCCTCTGGGAGCTGGGTTTTTCTTCGTGGCCAAGAAGGACGGGTCGCTTCGCCCTTGTATTGATTACAGGGGTTTAAATCAAATAACGGTGAAGGACAAGTACCCGCTCCCTCTACTCTCATCAACCTTTGAACCTGTGCAAGATGCCACTGTTTTTACGCGGTTGGATCTCCGCAATGCATATCACCTGGTCAGAGTCCGCCAAGGTGACGAATGGAAGACAGCTTTTAAGACACCCCTGGGGCACTTTGAATATTTGGTGATGCCCTTTGGCCTCACTAATGCTCCAGCGGTGTTTCAGAGACTCGTGAACTCGGTGTTGGGGGACTACATTAATGACTTTGTATCTGTATATCTTGATGATATTTTGATTTTTTCTAGGTCCATTGATCAACACCAGAAACATGTTCGGATGGTACTCCAACGGCTGTTGGAGAACAGACTATTTGTAAAAGCCGAGAAATGTGAATTTCATGTTTCAGTAGTTAAGTTTCTTGGTTTTGTTTTAGAAAGTGGACGGCTGAGGGCGGACCCAGACAAGGTCCAAGCAGTGACTGAGTGGCCTACCCCTGCCACCAGGAAACAACTGCAGCGGTTTCTTGGCTTTGCAAACTTTTACAGACGGTTTATCCGCAATTACAGCCAGACCGCAGCCCCTCTGACAGCTCTAACCTCTGTTGTTAAGCCCTTTTCCTGGTCTCCAGAAGCCGAAGCTGCATTTAGGACTCTGAAGAGGAGGTTCACTGAGGCCCCAGTCCTCTCCAGACCAGACCCCAAGCAGCAGTTCACTGTGGAGGTGGACGCCTCTGACACCGGGGTTGGCGCAGTCCTCTCTCAGGTATCCCCAGAAGACCACAAACTTCATCCGTGTGCCTTCTTCTCACGGCGCTTGACACCCACCGAGAGCAGGTATGACGTGGGGGACAGGGAGTTACTGGCAGTAAAACTGGCTTTGGAGGAGTGGAGACATTGGCTGGAGGGGGCTGAACTACCATTTATCATTTGGACTGATCAT